TCAGCTATAGTGTTACATAAACTTGTTTTGGAGTGAGATTATGTACGTACATATGGAATAGTGCTCTGTATCAGAACTATCACCTGAGTGTGTAAAAGAATTTCTTTCATATACTGTATAAATGTTGATGAAAAGCTATTATTCTTGGTAACTTCAACAAATTAGAATCAATGCTCCTGCCAGGTTATGTGGCATGACCAGTGGTATACATACAACTAAACCTTGAAACTTTTTACCAAAGGTAAATTTCATTATGGCACAGGTTTGCTCTTAGTTATCAATTTCATGTTCATTAACATCGGCCATTTGTCCATTAATGGGGACAAATGAATGATTTGTCATTAGCTTGAAGATGAATTGTCTATCACATATCTTTACAGAAGTACAGTGTACACATTAAGCCAGATACGTTCTGCACCAGATTACAGCCAGATACTGTAGCTAGTTTCCATCTGAATTCCCTGGTAACAGAAGAATAAATGACAATATATGACAACACTCACTAAACCATTTACAACATTTCCATGGGATGAAGCCAACACTTATATTGTTCCAAACATTGCTAGCAGGAACGGACCAGCTCCTGATTGGCTCTGTGATCGCTAGGTTGTTGCTACCTTCATCAAATGGCTCCAGCTCCTGCTCATGAAGCCTGTTTGAGTTAGCTCGAATCAGCGTCCTCCGCATTGGTGACATCAGGTCTCGGCATGGATCTAGGTCTTGATTAGTCCACTCCTTCTACTGTCTAAGCACAAGATTTTAAGTCGTACCAGTTCAAATTGGTTTTCCCACTAAGCAAAAGCAGAATGCTATAAGATTATTCTGCTGTTTGTAGGTCAACTACTTACAAATATATAATGAGTCATCTTGGTGTAATTGTGGGGGTGCTTCTGCTTCAAGTCAAACCTCTTGCGTCTCTGGGCAATCGGGAGCATCCTGTGACCGCTGACCTTTGGGACAATGGAGGCCAGGACGTTTCCCTGTCACTAGTGATGGAGCCAACAACAGGAACATGATGGTGCTCATGGGAAACAAACTGTTTATTGTGCAGCAGGATGGACGCCCCCTGTGCCCTACTCACCCCTTTTCACGCACACACAACCACACAGTGAGCTGCAACAGGTGTCCACTTGAATCACTTTTTGCATCAGTGCCGGGGGAGTGGGTGATTCCACACATTTCTTATACAGTATTGCCCAATATTATCTCACATGTATTTTTAAAAGTCAATTTCATATCTAAAAATTAAAATCATTAAAATGTGAAACATATAGATTATGTTCTGTATGTTATTTACACTCGAATGAAACATTCTGGGATTAATTGTGGTCATTTCAAAGCCACAAATAAAAAAATAAGCCTAAAAATGCTATTTATTTTAATACCCTTTTGTGCGGAGCTTGTTACCATGTGTAAATGGAGTAAATCATCAGCAGAGGCCCAGAGTAAAGAGTGTGAGCCTTGAAAAATGAGTCAGGTCTTGTATTTACTAAATGGTTCAGAAACATATTCAGCGGTGATTAGTTTAGACAGAGTTCTTGAAGGACAAAGCTTGAAAGACATGTTTCTTAAGGTATGTTTTCAATTTGGCACTACTGCGCTGAAAATCATGTTTCATTTGCTTTATGGTTCTTGATCGAGCACAAGCTTGATGCCTGTACTGTCAATATCACATTTACTGTACAAATCACAATGTGCTTGACACTCAGGGAATTTGCATTTCCCTACACATCAGGGGGCTCATTTATTAAAACAACACATATACTAGAAATGTACATCGGAACAAAACTAAAGCCTCCACAAACTTGCTCTCATCTAATTGTCTTGGCAGATCACGTTCTGCCTCATCTCCGAAAGCTCTAGCACAAAATCGCTCATTTCTGAGACAAGTTGACTTTTCATTAATCACACACTTAACGTGGAAAGTCACTTACATAACGTTTTTGTACGTACGCATGTTTTTTAAATGAGGCCACAGGTCTACTTTATCTTCTTTGCTTGTGCTGTCTAAGAGGTTTATATTTAGTAAGACTAACTATTTGATAAGAGTACCAAGCCATTTGTTAGTGCTGCTACAGTCTGTTTAGAAGGAAATCCCTCTTTTGTCTTGTAAGGAAGTTCAACAAACTGGGAAAACCTGAATTTGTCATATAACTGCTGCAGATGGAGCACATTGGATTAAGAAATGTCACAGTTTTAGTCAATGCTGCACGCAGATCATTACCAATGCTCTGGGGACCAGTCAGTGCAAGAACAGCACAATATAACAGTTTGCAAAACTGTCAGTCACCAAGTCACACGTTTGATGCCACGCAGATAAACGACTTAAGGAGCTGCTTTTGAAACGTTAAATACCTTAGGATTTGTGGTTCTCTGACGACATGTGTGAGTTTTTACTCACAACTCCATGCATATCATACGGCTGGATCATTAGTGCAGATATTGCACTAATGTAACCAAGGGCAGAGTTTTTCAAACTGGGGTACATGTACGCACTGGTTCTCAGAAGGTCAAATATGCAGATATGGTAGTGGTTTTATGGTGGAACCTAAGGCTTCTGAGGTACTTAGAGAGAACCACCTAGAGCCTTTTTTGTATTCAAGCAAAACATTTGCTAAACCCAAATACAGTGTTGTATGCAGAATAACACGTGTAGTGTTTATATGTAGTGTTGGGAGTACCTAGTTACTTTTTGAAGTAACAGGAGTGTAACTTGGAACAAAGAGAGCTATCTGCTTCTAAAACAACAAAAGAGATAAGTATTTGAAATAAAACATACTGATCCAAAAGTAACTCAGAGCAACTTAAAGTCAATCTGTTTCATTTAATAAACAGTCATATTGCAAAACACGTCACTTCAAAAAGTTATTTGTATATTTCACAAAAGAAATGCATGTATCTTTAGACATTCTCCTTAGCGTCATGAGACAGAGGGAAGAAATGAACCATGAAACAATAACTACCATGTGCAACAATTTGCTCCCATGTTCCTCAAGTTGTATGATCTAATTGTGCACAGGAGCTTGAGACCAGCTTGCATATTGTCTGAGTATAATTAAATTACGGCCATTTATACAAAGAGTGAACAAATATCTGTTATACATGGGAACAAGAGATTGATTATGAAGACAACACAGCCAAGATCAGCAGTACAGCAGTAACAAAGTTTGATAGGCCTATTATTATTTTTTATATATTTTATGTAGAACAACAGGAAAGGTGTTTGAATGGCTTATGAGAACAATGATGAGATAATAATAAACGTATCTCGTTTACCTCAGACAAGTTGTAGAAACCAGTATTCATGAAGCAGAATAGCTTCGAGTACGCTACAAAATACACAATATGCAAGATTAGCAATAGAAATTTAGTCTAATATTTACAATAATGATTTTGACTTTTTATTCGATGTAGATAGGATAAAAAGCAGATATAGCTGCCTAAGTGAGTAACCAGTGGACACTTTATGAAACCATCGAGCACATTATTGCAATGCACAGTTGAGCGTCACAAACATCAGTTGGCTTCCACATGGCTGGAATTATAAAAAGGGCATGAAAAATAAAGACTGTCCATTATTATAATAAACAAATGAAAACTTAAAAAAATAAAAGATGTACCTTGAGAGCCTTACAACCACACACTAATTCACCTCCTGAGATTATCAAGTTTAAGTCTTGCGGCACAGTCCTGTAACAAAAGCTTTTGGTGGAAAGTCCCCATTCAAGATGGTTTTAGTGCATTTCCCCTCACTATGATTGTCAACAAACTCATCAGTCGAAAGCGTTGGTATTTCAAATTTTCAAATGTTGATCTTTGTGAATTGAGGCTTCATATTATGTGCTCTGTTAAATAAAAACACAAATACCTCACACAAGGTCCTGCTGCAGAGCATCCAAAGTGCTACCTCTACTGAATCTGATTACTACCAGGCCCAGAGGACAGGCAGGTCATTCAGTGCACAGAGATGAACAAACAATAAGATATTATCTAAAGGAATCTTCAGCTTTCCAAAGGAAAATGGTTCCTCTTAGTGTCACTCAGACGATAGGATCCTCAACCTGACACTGAATCAGCCATTTAAGAAGAATGAACACTGCAGCCCATTCATACAGAATAATGAGAGCTCCGTTTTCACTCTTGTTTAAGACATATAAAGAAAAGACTTTTCTGGACATGGTTGAGCACAAACTGGAGCATGCAACTGACTGCCTAATGCATTTGACAATTGCATTGTTCTGTTGTTTAAGTGCCTGTGTCCATGATTCTGACTATTTACCATGTTCGTGTGTTCCATGGTTTGCTATGATACATTTTAACCATTTGGCAGATGAGCTGATGTCCCTAGAAAACCTGGTCATAATCATCTATGAATCAGTGATGTGAACGAACCATAGACTGTGAACGAACCATGGGCGAACATTACCCTGCAGCCTAATTGACCAACTAGCGCCATCTTGTGGTCAGAAAATGTTCCGCTCACAGCATGCTGAGCCCTTTTTCCCCGTTTATTTTTAAAAAGGCTGATTTTAACAATTTCTACGATAAGTATATGTGTATTATTATGTTTGAATCATTAAGTGCACCTTTATACTAAAATAATGCATATAACAAAAACGTGGTTGTATGTAATAAGTAGTATTTAAATGTTTTTTTTTCTATACGAAGAATGGCGAATATTTCCATTGGGAGATTGTATGCGTGTTGTTTAGCTAAATGTTGTTTTTATTACTGTGGTTGGTGGACGCTTGATCTCGCGATATTTCCGCAACACAGAAGGTTAACCTTAGTGAACGGTCTTTAGTCTAATGTCTATGCGTTTAGCTAGAACAAACTCTACTTCCCTGTAACAACCTCTGTAAAGTCAAGACCATTGATAAATCGTTGACTTAAGCCTGTATCGTGTTGGTGCCAGAGCCGTTCAGAACAGACTGAGGTGTGTTGCATGAGTGAGGCACAAACCGTTAGCTGACAGGCTAACTAGCATAGCCGCACTCGCAATGGCGTTGAAGAGAATTCAGAAGGTGAGTGTTGATCATATTTATTCATCAATGCAGCATATTCCCATTGTTCTCGTGTTGGAGACGGTTTGTTACAACTGGGTTTGATGTGTGAGACTCGATGCCCTTTTGCCATAGGTCATATTTTCGGTCATTTCTATTCGCCTTCAATACAAGTCATAGACAAAGAGGAGCTAACATTGCTACTTGGCCTTGTTAATGCATTGCTACAAAAACAATGCTATGAATAACACAAAGCTACTGTAACCGTTTCACAATCAATGTATGATGATAGGTATGGCCAGAGTTATTCTTGATCTAAGCAGCCCATCTCTAGGATAAGCCTTCACTCATTTAGCTAGTTCAGTGCTTAGTTGACAGGTTTTTTGTTGTTTTAATGTGATCATGTTTTGAGTCCAGTCGGTAATGGACTGTACTTTTGTTTATTCATCAGCACTGATTATGTTTGAGTGATAAAAAGTGAAGTGACATGTTGTGGTGGCTGAGTGACAGCTGGTAAGCCAAATTTGAACTCTAGTATCAGTGTTCCCATAAAAGGAATGGCAAATGGGGCACTGAACCAGGCCGAGGTGTGTATTTATAATATAGAATAGAGTCTGCGTTGTTGGATAACGGATTGCACCTCTATTTGGTTATCTGTTGTCTAGATATACTACTACTATATTAACCCATATATCTAAATTGTGTTAATTTAGAAAGATGTACGTGTGAGAGATCAAACTGCTTATTGTAGGTAGATTTATAAAATGTGTTCAATGAGAGGCACTGATGGTTAAATGTCTTCTCTACATAAACTGCAATCTATGATAATTTTAGGAGTTGTCAGACCTGGAAAGAGACCCTCCCGCTCAGTGTTCTGCTGGCCCAGTCGGAGAAGACTGTGAGTGAGCAAAATAAAACACTTCATGGTTTGTCTGACACACGTTTTACAGTGTTTTTATTTTGTATGTGTTTTGGTCAGTGTTTCATTGGCAGGCTACTATTATGGGTCCTGTAAGTATTTTATTTCTATGAGAATTCATGAATCTTAACCATAAACTTAATTGTATGTGTTTTTAATTCACAGAGTGACAGTCCCTATCAAAATGGAGTGTTTTTTCTTACTATTCACTTCCCCACAGATTATCCCTTCAAACCACCTAAAGTAAGTGCTTGTGTAATAATATTTGGTTAAACAAAATGTATATTCTTTATTAAACTAATATTTTTGTTTCATTCAAAGGTTGCATTCACGACAAAAATTTACCATCCAAATATCAACAGCAATGGGAGTATTTGTCTTGATATTCTTAGGTCTCAGTGGTCGCCTGCACTTACTGTATCTAAAGGTGAGTAGTACGTTGGCTTTTGTCTTAATGACGTGTCGTAGAAACTCCTCTTTTTGAGCATAGCCATGTTACAACAGTCTTTCATAGTTTTTACCGCCATCCACGCTAATACAAGGAACAAACCAGCCTACCCGTTTGTTTAAAAGGCCTTATGCCCTTTTCTGATGCTAAGTTCTTGTGATCTCAAACTCTGAAGGTCTCAGTTTCAAAACAGAAATACGGAATTGAATGCTGCTATGGTCAGAAATTCAACTCGGAAACTCATGCTGAAGTAATAGCCTCCGAAGTCGCGTCACTCTAACATGTGTCAGATTGTAATTGGATAAAATTGAGAAGACCCAAATACTTGACTCAAATATTAACGTAAAATTATAATTCATGAATCCATCAGAACGAAATCATTTGAGATCATGAGTGTGAGCACATTTATGATGAGAAATGCCATATGTAAGTTATACCAATAAAGATAACAGTAAAACGGGCAATATAATTTTAAATGGACTATTATGCCACATGTTGACCACAGGTGCAGCACGTGTCGCTCTGCGTCTCATAATGTCACAATTAAAGGGATGATCATACATGTCTTCAACATGACGGAGTGCATTAAGTAGCATTAACTTACTGGCATAATCAGAATCATTGTTATTGCCACGTAAGTAACAGGAAGTCACAGACTTGGAAATTGTTTTGTCTCATAATAAATTGTTGTTTTATTGTATACATTTTTCTACTGTACGTATGATGGAAAATTGATGGACCATTTTCTTGTCATTATTTACGCAGTATTATTGTCTATCTGCTCTCTGTTGTGTGATCCAAATCCGGATGATCCACTGGTCCCAGAGATTGCTCACACATACAAATCTGACAGAGAAAAGTAAGTCTGCCATGGAAAATGTGAAGGCTGTTCAATTAGTATTACATGTTGAGTACTATAACTTGCTTTTCAGGTACAACAAACTTGCAAGAGAATGGACACAGAAGTATGCAATGTCATAAAACAAGGAAGATAAGTAGATGAACATGTATAACTTTCTTCAGAAAGGCAACAACAACAGTGGATTAGAAAAAAAAAACGTTTTGAAGGATGCATTACGATGAGGTTCAGTGATACAATGCCACTGGCTTTCCATGTGCTGAGCTGCTCCCATGTGCTGTCCTTCATGACATGTTTGGATCGGCTGAACGGGAAGTGATGGGCTCCTTTTTAAGCACTGCTTTATGGAAACCCAGAAACTCTACAGTCCGTACGACCATACTCAGACTAAAACTGTTACTTACGCTTGATATTGTTATCATCACTATCATTGTTGCTAGTCATTTAGAACATATCATTGCTACTTAAAATATTTGGGTTTTATTTCTGAGGTACTGTTTCTGTCCCACTGGATGTCTTGTTTTACTGTATCTCCATGTATTTAGTGGCCTTTCTGTGTTTTTTTGAGTCGGTATGTGCAATTGAGACAGAATGTTCCCTGATGTACACCACTGCAGTGCCATTACCAGCAGTTCATTTGTTGGCACATAATGTCTCCACCCAAAACAATGTGACTAAAGATTGGTTTACGTTCAGTAGAAATCGCTGTATTCAAAATCTTTAGTTTATCCCATTTAATACATTAACTATATTTTTATCTTATGTTCTCAGCCTATACTGAATGGTCATACATTTAATTTAATCTAAAATGTCTGCATTTAAGATGGTAATTTTATTGTGTGCCACTTCATTACTGTTAACTCAGGTATCTAGCCAATCAAACTAAACAATGTTGCATGGTGAGAACAATGTGGACTAAAAAGCTTTTTACTTTCAAAATGACACCAATGTGTGTACTCTAAATTATCATTCTCATGTCTTTTGCACACACAAATATAAACTAAATACTCTAAACAGTGCAAAGGTTATGTGCTACTTTTGGAATTGGTCTTCAGTTACAGTGGGAGTCCATCAGACCTGACCATTTGCAGACTTGTCTGTAGAAGTCATGCATCAACTTGATGCTAATGAATTCAGCTGCCATGACACATTTCTGAGATTGTGATGTAAAGTTTCTGTTCAGCTATTTCTTTGATTGGATCTGCTCATCTTCATTATACCAGAAACTTAGTAAAGGTTTTGTTTTATTTATGTGACCTTTACTATTGTATCTTGAACGAATTTCATTTGGAGTTGACATGATTGTGGTGTAATAGTTTAATATAATATGGTAAATGTCAGGTTAAAATTGTTAGGGTATGCCATTTGTTAAAATGTGCTGATGCTGCCAATATCAAGAAAAAGGGAAATGGTTGTGGTTGATTACTCTTGAGGCATTTTAATTGGAGTTATCCTAAAAGGGCCACACTAAGCATGTACATGTTCTCAAAACTTAACATGGTTTTACATAATTATTAGTTGTACAAAAGTCAATTTAATATGTAGACACATTTTCAATGCCAGACCGCTTTGGAAAATGGAAAGTGTTCTGTGCATTTTTATTTAAACAAAAATATCTTCCAGATGCGTGGTGGAGAGCAGTCCAGTGTGCTCTTTGTATAGGCAGCTTAGCATGCTTTGCACTCCGAAGAATCCTCTCAGCCATTTGCCAGAAATCAGGGATTTCGTTACACTTCATCAGCCTAACACCTCTAACAAAAATAATAGCCTTAACACTCATTTTCAACATGAAATGCTAAAGAAGATAATGTAAACTTGCTCTGTCAGGGGTCCATCTTCTTGGGTAACTCATCTCATCTAGTATAACGTGCAGCTTGATCAAAACTAATTTCTTAATTGAATTTAGGCCTTGTCTGAATGCAGGGCCAGCAGTTTGTATCTAGTGATCTGGAATGTCTGTGCTTTTTACTGTCATCAACTTTCACACTTTACACACTACATACAAGATATCTATGGACATGTCATGAAACATGATTAAAGTTGATCTTGGAGTAAGTCTACGGTGTGTATTCATTTCCATCCTATCCTTCATATGAAAACCCTAATTTTATGGAGAATGCGTTTATAAGGCTTTTACATTCAATGGAAAACTTTCAGAGAAGGTAGCCAAGCCTGTTCTTCATTTGATTTAATTCATTGAAATAAGAATCTATATTACTATGATTATTTCTCAATCTAGATCTGTTTCTCATCTCCAAAAAGGAAAGCCCTCCGGTTGTAGAAAACATTAGACTGGCGATTCTGAGTTGTCAATAAAGTTGTCTGAAGCGAGCCTTGACTGTCGCCCCGCCCCCTCCGCCAGAAGAACCCTTCCCTGAGCTAACAGCTAACAGCTAGCTCAGCTGCTAGCTACACATATACTGTCTATGAGCCGCACACCGCTACAATGGCAGTAAACCTCAGTAAAAACGGCCCAGCCTTGACCACTGCGTATAAAGAAGTTGTCGATGAAAAGTCCAGCACAAACTGGTAAGATGGAATATTTCGCGAATAGGATAATGATATAGCCACAGCCTTTAGCTAATGGTGACATTCTTAAGCAATCAAGTCATTATAAGTAATAAACGAACCAATAAATAACCAGAAAGCATTCCTGTCTGCGCCGTTTTTCAGTTCTTTTTTGCGTTGCATTATTTTATCAACTATTTTATATAGTAATTTACTGACAATATGTCCATTTCCTGGTTGGAGATCTTTCTAGGGTGGCATCTGAACCTAAATACATGAGTCTAATGTCATCCATATAATTCAAATGCAACTACATCAATGGATACAACACATACAGGAGGTTTTAGATCAGGCCACATTTTATCATACATGTGTCTTCTTTGTGCAGTTATGATGATTGAATCTATTATACTTCTCAGGGCTCTGTTCACATATGAAGGGAATACTGATGACATCCGCTTGGCAGCAAAGGGAGGTAAGTGAAATCTCTGGTTAATAAATCAAATATACAAGATACAAAATTAACAGAAATCTATTGAACTCTAACTTTTTCTTATTGACCTGAAGATAGGAATGCTGCTATGGCACTTGTAGCCTGATATTACACTGAATTTAATAACTCCCAAATGTGTTTTTGTTGGTCAGATGGAGGGCTGGAAGAGATGATTGAGGATCTTAGTAGTGGAAAAGTGATGTACGCTTTCTGCAGAGTTGAAGACCCAAATTCAGGTCTGCCCAAATATGTCCTCGTCAACTGGGTCAGTGATCGGCACTTTTAATGTACAAAGTGAAGTTTCAGCTTTGACTTTTATAAAACCCGTGCTTGCAATTGATATAATTACAGACCGGCGAAGGGGTAAAAGATGCCAGGAAAGGAATTTGTGCAAACCATGTCAGCACAATGGCAAAGTTCCTTAAGGTAATTTTCCTTCTCTTTTGTTGATGTGTATTACTTCTATGTTAAATGTAATTGTACAAATGTATAGGGGGCACACGTTACAATAAATGCCAGAGGAGATGAAGATGTGGAGCCGGAGGTTATAATGGAGAAGGTGGCGAAAGCATCTGGGGCAAATTATAGCTTTCACAAAGAAACTTCCAACCGCTTCAGAGACTCTGGTCCTCAGGGTCCTGTGGTATGTTTCGAGAATACTCAGTGTTTGTTTTTGGTTTTTTGATTTAAAATTATAATTAATGTATCTGTTATAACATACATTCTACTCTATTCTAGGGTTCAGTGTACCAAAAGACTAATGCTGTGTCTGAAATAAAGAAGACTAATAAAGATAATTTCTGGGCACAGGCAGAGGTAAGCGATACAAGAGGCTGCTACTTAATGTAACATCATACTCTGGAAAAAACGCTTTTACCTTGAGCGAATTATTCCTCCCACATCTGTCCGTCCGTGGAGCGGATCCCTCTCTCAATGTGGTTCTCCGAGGTTTCTCACTTTTTCCCACTGGGTTTTAGAGTTTTTCCTTGAAGATGTAGGAGCATCAACAACATTCATGGACAGTGGTCTCTCCCTATGGACCAATACATATGTGATCTATATTTTTTGTGTTTGAATGGTTTGATTCTCTGATCTGTGTTAGCAAATTCAACGGTTTTGTAAAGTCCTCTGAGATAACTACTGTTGTGATTTAGGGCTACACGAGAATACATTAAAAGTAGAAGACATGTTGTATTTCCTGTTTAATTTAAAATCTTTTTTTCATACTTTATTGATTTGTTCAATGTCAATTAGAAAGAAGAGGAAAAACGACGTCAGGAAGAGCGACGCAGGGCGAACGAAGAGCGGCAGGTGCTGGAGAACGAGAGGAAGGACCGCGAGGCCAAAGAAGCATCTCTGCGGGAGAAGAGGGACAAGGAGAGAGGGCAACAGATAGACCAACAAAAGTACATTCATAACCTTCTACAGATGTGCAGGAGTGTTCTTAGTTTTATGGGTTTTTTGTCTTTATTGATAGAAAATACCAACAGCAACTGGAAGCAGAAAGTAAAGAGCAAGAAAAGAAGCGCTATGTAAGTCTACGTTTAACACAAATATGAAATATTGAACTGATCAGACGTATGGTGTTTTTGTGAAACTGTCCAGTTCCTCTTTAATTTGACTAAAATGTGAACATTATTGTCATAATAGGAGGAGCAGCAACAAACCGAGGCAGCCCAAAGAAAGTCAGTGAGGAGAGGTGAATCGCTGGAAAAGGCCAACGTGAGTTTCCCTTCACCAAAGCACGGACCTCTTGACTCCACCTTCCTCTTTTAAAACAACAATCTTTACTTTCATATCCATTTCTAATTCTGTAAATGGGTATGTAAAATTGCATAACAAACACATATAGATTGTTTTGACATTTTCAGGAGGCGGCTTCTTTGATTTCTCAGCGTGCTCTAAACCCCAGAGAAATGTTCAAACAGAGGGAGCGGGGAATCACCCCGAGTGACTCTGATGATCCCGCTGCTGCCCCCGCTCCTGCCCCCGCCAGCTCACAGCCAGGTAATGCTGCTGCTTACCTTGCTTTTACCTTGATTTCTCACGTTGAGCGTATATTAACTTTGACTACGGTGCGGGTCGAGAGCTGACGTACACTGACCTCGACCTCTGAGTTGGGGCCTGGGTATGGAAGCTTTCCAAGTATTTTTGCTGAACTCCACAGCAGTCTGCCCCGGTCTTTTGTTGATGGATCACTGTCCCATGTTGATCCCTGTGAAACTGTGCAATAGACTGGAGCCAGTGTATGTTACGAACTGCAGACCTGGGGCTAAAAGAGTTTGAGTTAATCTACGCCAGGTGCTTAGATGCTTGAAACTAACTCATTGTCTTATCATGATCAGCTCTTTTCCATTCTGATGTCTTCTTAAATGTCTCTTGTTTCATCCATCCTGCATGCTTCCCGGGCTCTGTGTCTTTAACAGGGCGTCTGCACAGCCCTTTTCTGTCTAAACCAGTCTATGAGCCTGAGCCGCCTCGCTCATCTCCGCACCCAGCCTCTACTGTGGCAGCAAGCTCCGCCTCTCCTGTCCGGGCTACAGGTGGGAGCACACACACTCCCCATGCGTAGTGGTTCTATGGCTGCACAACATGTTTCCAATATTTAATAACTATAAATAATTGACTCTGATTTAATAAAAACTCAGAATTGTGTATATATATTTGTGTTGTGCAGCCCTGAATGTGCATAAAAACTCATTTGTCATGTTGATCCTTCATTCAGTGTGTCATTATCCTGTTGCTTGTGTTTGTATAAAAAGTGCTACTTCTGGAGTTCAGTGGTGGCGTTGATCTGTGTGGACCTGTTGGTGTCTTGCGGTGTATTTGCATGTCTGTGCTTGTGTTTTGGTGATAAGAGCCTGAAGTGGGGGATGGACAGTCCAGGTATGAGGAGGAGGAGGAGGGGGAGGAGCAGGAGCAGGAGGAGGAGCAGGAGGAGGAGCCCCAGAATCAACTGAAAGGTGGGGTTGACCTGAATACAGTGGTGCTCATAACTTCTCATACCTGGCATCACTTCAAGCAACTGTTTTTCTATCATAATGGTAACAGTAGTTATCTCAGAGGACTTTACAAATCTGTTGGATTTACAAACACAGATCAGAGAATCAAACATTTCAAACACAAGAAATGCATTGATTAAAAACAGTCTTTGGTCATCTGCCCCTTATGGACCAATGTCTACAAATGTTGATAAATATCCATAAACTGCAAAAATGTCTCTTGAAGATGAGCATTAACTGGGATCAGCCAACCACTAACCTTATGTGGGGACAAAAATGATGATATAGTCTGCATTATGTTGAAAAACTAACTTTACTCAGTTAGATATGTACTATAATATTCATGTACAGGCCTGCCCAATACATAGAAATGTATTTTTCCTTCTGTCTCCCACAAAGTTTACTCGAGCAATGGTCAACCTACTTCTATTGATAATAAAAATGTGTGCGTTTTCACAGAGGAGCCTGTTTCTGTGAACTCATACGTCCAGGAGAAGGCCATTGAGGAGCCAGCCAAGGTTTTTTCTGTTTATATTTATTCAATTTAAGAAACATTACATCCTGCTGACTCCTGGTCTTTTGACTTCAGGAAGAGAACAACGTGACTGCGGAGGAGTCTTCAGAGCGGGGCATCTGTGCAAAAGCCTTGTACGATTATCAGGCTGGTAAGTTTGGTTGACTTTTATAAGAATGAGAATGTGATGGTGAAGTAAGCAGCCATAAGTTAGTCAATTTGTTTAATTGTGTAAACCGTATTCATTTCAGTTACACAAATACAATTTTACTTCATGTCAATGTTTTTAAACCGTTTCTTTTTAGCCGATGACACCGAGATTTCGTTTGACCCTGATGACATCATCACAAGCATTGAGATGATCGACGAGGGTTGGTGGAGAGGCTATGGTCCAGACGGTCACTTTGGAATGTTCCCAGCCAATTATGTGGAGCTTGTCTGAAGCACCGGAACCCAAACGCAAACTAGAAAAAGCCAAGAGCAGGACCACCAGCCTGCAGGGCCAGTGCTTATGTTGAAATAGAGAAAATGGACCAGTGATAAATAAATATATGGATATTATGGCAGGTTTGCACAAAATTGTAAGTAATAATTCCCATTGTGTTGAGTTGGTGGTGTAGTTAGGGATTTGTGAATGACCAAAATTCCTTTCCATCTTCCTCAAAAAATCTAAATGTGATGCAGTATCCCACTATTAATATTATTATTATCATCATAGCATTTCAGCACATTCCTTTTTAAAAAGTATGTTTGCATATATTTTTTTATCGCTTGTAGCATTTGTTCCTTTTCATTTCAGGAAATGTTTCAAAGATAGTGGTACCAGCCGCAGTACAATCTTCTGCCTTGATTTTGCCTTTTATTTACCGGATGACTGAATTTCCTCTGTCTGTGATTGAAATTGTGTGAATTTCAAGTGTAGTTCAAACAAGTATTTTACTAAAACATTCGAAGCATTTGGGGATTCGCTGTGCACTGAACGGTTGATTTTTGTGGGCAAAGATTTCAACTTTAACTGTGATTATAACTGGTTTGCTATTTATACCAAATGATTTCAACATATTTAACATTTCAGGAATGAAGTTTTAATCTCGCTGGTCTGAGGTTTGCCGTGCCGTACGCAGGGGAAGCCCTGTGTATTGTCTTGAACTACGGTTATGTTTTAAAGTCGATCATGAACATATATAAAGGGCATCTTGTTTTTCTGCATTATGTTTTTTCCTTTGTAAGCACCTACTTTTCTTCATAATAAAATTATGTTGACTTCAGAGTTTGTACAGTTTTATTCCAAATCATGAAAACCTTTTAATATATTCTTTATTTTCCGACAATGAATTACAGTTATACATCACAGCTTTAACACACTGTCAAAACTTATTGTAATCCCCAACATCTTTAAATAGAGAATATTCACATGAGTAAAAGGGGCATAGATCAATTATTACAAAATCTTGTAATGTATTTTACTTATTTAGACCATAATCTATTAAAACCTTATTTATTAAGACGGACGGTATAGATAACTGCTTCCATCGTATAAATTGCTTACAAGACTCCACAGTGGGGAGCTTGGAGAGATAATGAAAACCTTTTTGAGCCGTGGAACACCTTTTTTTCATTGAAAACACATCAAACATCTGAAGGCACACTGGTTGAACAACATTGCACTACTCTAAAAACACTTCTATAGTATTTAAAATGACTTGAATATTATAGGATATTGTTTGTTTTTAGACCAGTTGTATTTACCCCATTATTCTAAATTAATATTTTTATACATGTCTTTTTGTAAAGGGTCTTCAAACTAATGCAATGTTCTAACTAGTTCTAATAAATACCAGTCAAAAATAGAATAACAACCAGAGTTAAAGTCATTTGAAGATTTCACTTTTGTGTACATGTTTCATGTGCCCACAGAGCAGGGGATTTCATAAACTGTATTCTCCCTGAGACAAAAGTCTTGACTCATCCAAACCTGGAGCTGCCCTATATTTTATGCTTGTGAATTATTATTGTGAATATTTTCTCATAAGGTGACTGCTCTTACTTCACACTTGCTCATGTGAAAGTGTGAAATGAATGGCTGGGGACTTTCTCTATTTGTTTTTGATCTGCAAATCAAGCTTCAGTGGAATCGTTCCACTCATTTCTGCCTCATTGTTATTATCTCGCACAAATTAAATCATACGAGAGAATAAGACTGTGTGCTATGAAATCTGTTTTCATGACTTTAAATCTGAATTTTCAGCAAATATTAGTGCGCTAATATCAGCTGTATATGAAACAACGTTAAAACTCTAAATTACCATCAATAAAAAAGTAGATCCTTACATTTATTATTCTAAAATATATCTTTTTAATAAAGAGGAAACAATTAAAAGGAATGATTAAAGACTAAAACCCACTTCCACTTTTTAATCCCACAGCCCCAAACCAGACCATAAACAAGTGCAACATCACAGATTTAGAAATACAATATTTATATTAAAGCAAAAAGAACTTTTTAACTAAACAAAACATATACATCTAAATTAAAACACAAGAAAGATTCTTGACTAAACCCTGCTGCACACCGACCAGTATTCTCTCATAAGGACTTTCACGTTTGCTTAGGTTTGATGACAAATGTACATTTAACCTTGAACAAAAAGTTTTAAACTAAAAGATGTAAAAATCAAACACAATTTTTTGCACTTTGAGGTTTCCTTGTATGATTCATTACAGATCAAATATATTTATATCGAATTAAATAACTGGTTATAGAGGCAGGTGAAGAAATATCATGACCCTGCAGTAATAAATACATATATCGGCTGAAATGGTGAAATCGTCATACTGTGTCCTTTGACTGAATGCAAATGGAAAGACACTAAATGCTGACCTTTTTTTCCTCTAAATTTAGGGGAATCATCTGCTTCCTTATTGCCTTATTTTGACCTCAAAAACAAGGATGATCTTTGAAGAAGTGGTGCTTTACTACTTCCTTAAACATAATGGTACTAATATTAAGTTATTCAGGTAATTCTTTGACATTTGAATAGACAGATAAGGAAAAAAAAAGCACCACATTCAGATCACAATCTTGTCGATGTTTAGGTGAAGTGTAGATGTGACACACAGAGCTCAGCCTCCAGTGTGTGGTGCAACCAGCGAAACTGTTGTGGAGACGACTTCCTGTTTCGTGGTGTCATTCTGAAGACGACCTTCCACAAGCAACAGGCAAATGGGTAAGACATATTTCACTGTATTTATTACTTAGTGTGTTATCATTTGTAAGTCATAGCAAAATGTTTTCACACTGTTAAAATGTTAAAACCATCATGTAGCTGTTTAGGCCTATGAATAATTTTGAGATTTAAGAACAAATGTTATATAATAATAAGGTGTAACTTTGATTTCACAAACACTGTGTTGGGAATACTGAGAATGAGGAAAATATACTGTATTTGTGTCTAAGAAGATACATTGGACCCGCAGCGCATGTTACGGAACAGGGGGAATCAAAGAAGCCACTCACAACAATATAAAAGATTAACAGTGTGAATATTAGAGAAGGCTAAAAGTCTTTTTGCAGCATTGGGATGAGGACATAACAATAAATTAGCAGATAAAGTGACAACAACAATAGATCACATAAAACAAAAACAGTATGGTAAACGTATTTTCAAAGTCCACACCAACTATCACATTTATTCAAGTCTTACAGCACATTTATATATTTAATTTGATTATAATTCTGTATTTACCCAGGGAGGGCTTAACAAGGTCACCAGACTCTAATTCCAAAGTTCAAATCAAATTATAAAACCAAATTGATTAACCAAAATAATGGAATTATTAACCAATGCTCATTACAAATTGTGTTCAAAATGCCAGAGTTCAGGAGTTCAGATAATAAGTTTTTTATGAATATTCACTATTTAAAACACTTTCTCATTAAAATGAACAGTGTATCAAATAAATTAAATACAATGTTGTACAAAGAGACGAGCCTGTGGTAAAACAAAGGACACTTTCTTTAAATAACTTCTAAAGCAGAAAGAAAAGTTCCCTGAATAATACATTTCCTGTAATTTAGATGATTATAACCTTGACTTTAAACTATTGCACAATTTCAGTTTTTTGTATAGGTAAATTTATCATCAAGCCAAAACCCCGGGTACTTTTTTCTATTCCGAGTACAAAGCTTTAAACTTTTCATATGACCTGTGTACGTAGATATGTGGTCACTGAAACCATGAGGCCCGGATGTGTTTTTTATTTGTGGTGTGACAACATTCAGAACATTAATCCCCCTTAATTTGTCGATCAGTTACATTTTGAGTATCCTTGGAAAACAGTATAACAAATGATCAAACTTTTCTCTTCTGTCTAAAGCTGATGAGGAGGCAAAAGAGGCCCAGCCACGATCAGATGACAATGATGCGTCCGTTTGCCAGGTAATGCTTACACTGCTGAGAAACTGGTCATTTCGAGCATCAGTTACAGTTATTGCTATGACTCCTCTCAGCCCTGACTTTCACTTCTCTTTTTTGTGGACTCAATATAAATGCTGACTCTTAATAATGTGTCTTGAGGAGCGTTTTCTTATCAAAGCAAACTCAGCAGTGGTACAATATTGCAGGCTGTTCCGATAAAAGGTACAATATGAATACCACAATTTAGATCACCAAATTTCCAGCGCTGATGTAAACCGAAAGCCTGGTGGTTAGTGTGGTGAGAAAAAGCTGTCGATTGCAACTGGCCGAGAGCCTACGGAGGACGTTCAATGTGAGATCTGAATATCGAGACTGTCTCATGGAAAGGTAATATTGCATCTAGAGTGAGTGGGCCTTTGTGTACGACAGGGCCATAATCACTACAATATATACAAGGGGGGAGAAATGTGTTGAGTTCACACACAACTAACAAGCCATTGTGATTTATTTGCGTAACAAAAAGACTTCTGTGATTTATTTCCTCCACTCTACGTCTTTTAAGCACTGAACATGAACTTTTACTCATAGTTGAGACTTATTTTCTTGGAACTGGGAACCACATTGAGGAACTAAATTCAATATGAAACCACGGTGCTTAGAATCCAAACATGTGCTGATTCTAACGACAATGACTACAGCCCTGTTACATCTTCGTTATACATAAAACATTTGACACAATTATCTGCAATATGGTTTGGTGTTTCACTGCACATCGTTTATTTAAGCAGCTTTAAAATACTCCTTCAGTGGAAACTGAACAATTGAATCTACAAGATGAAGATGTGGTGTAGTGGCTTGTGCACCTGCCTTTGACACTTGTGATACCAGTGACAGTCAGATCAAAACCTACATCCCCACAAAGTGAAGCTTTCCCTGCAGACAGGATGCACAGTGGTGATCTATTGAAAGTAGCGGTGAAGCCCTTGCATTTATTATGTTTCAATTCAACTGAGAGTTTGTGTATTTCCTTCACCATAATTCATAACAGATAACTATAATTTTACTCTCTATTACAGAGTCCCATCACAGTGATTGAGATCCTGGACTCATCAAATGAATTGGTTGAAGAGACCAGACAAAATGTTGAAATGGAGGAAAAGACCTTTATAGCTGGATTGTACTCCCATATGAGGGCCAGAGGGACCCCCATTGAGAGGATTCCACATTTGGGTTTTAAGCAAAGTGAGTAAAATGTTATGGGGGTAAAACAAAACTTTATTAATCAGGCTTTTATTGTTTTCCCCAGTTAACCTTTGGATGATATTCAAAGCTGTGGAGAAACTTGGGGGGTATGATTCAGTGAGTACAACTTTCCTCGTCATTATACTGTAAGAAACTAGGAAACATTTCCTGGGACAATGTGACAATTTCAACTGTTATAATCAGGTAACAACAAAACGTCTTTGGAAGAAAATATATGATGAATTGGGAGGAAGTCCAGGCAGCACCAGCGCAGCCACCTGCACTCGCAAACATTATGAAAGGTCTGGAGTGGAACAGTATTTCAATGTGCATTAAAGCGCAGCAGAAGTGTTGATAGTTGTACATGATGTGCTTCAGGCTGGTCCTGCCTTATGAAAGACATATAAAAGGGGAAGAGGAAAAACCTCTGCCTGCAACTAAGCCACGGAAGCCTTACAAGAGAAACGCTGATGGCAAAGTGGACAAGGCTGAGGGTAAAAAACCAAAGAGTCAAAGAGACTTACAGGTAACAATACTTTGAACATGTAAATAATTATATGCAATGAATATATACAATAATTATGTATCAATATATGTCCTTGTGTTGCAGTTGAGAATGCAGAGACATGATCTGGTGCTACACCCGCTCTCCTCCATGTGGACAGTTGACAAACTAGATCATTCGAAGCACAGCTCAGATAGTATTTTGCCTCATGTTCTGCCAGTGTCCAAAACACACACCTGGACTCCCCCTGTCCCTCCTGGAGCAGGAGCAGGTATCTCTCCATTGGAGAAGAAGAAACGAGTGGCTCAGGCCAGTCTCAGCCTGCAGCACAGCCCACAGCGTGAGGAGAGGCTCTCAGTGATCCTCTGCTCTTCCCCAGGACCACAGGCTTCGGCTCGGGCCTCTTCTGATGGCTCACCACAGCCTCAGTCATCCTCATCCTCACGCAGCCCCTCTCCACTGTCTGTTTCTTCAGAAGACAGTTCAGTTAATCATCAGGACAAAACTTCACCAAGTTTGGAATTACATCTAAACAGCTCATTAGTCAAATGTGTAAAAACAGGAAAAAGCCAGGAGTCTAAAGAAGTCGCTCCTGAAAGAACAGTGGGTAACTCACAACTTGTGGTAAGACATTATGCAAATAATTTGGAAATGGACAGAATTCCAAACTGGATGCCAGTTTACAAACGAACACATTTTACACCTATCTTCAACTCATCACCATCCTTCGCTACAAAACATGATTTGGCTCCTGCATCTACCTCCAGTTTCACCAAAGTTGTTCCAAAAATGGTGCAGCTCATGAAACCAGCTCCAATTTGCCTTAGCAATAAAGTTCACCAAACATGGCAGGTTCAGGGCGACTCAATGACAAAGAACAGCACATCTCAGAGGACAAATCATACTGAAAAATGGGAAAACTCAAGGATGTGCAAAGATCCACTACCTCAGCAGAATCTTGTGCATAGTTTTCCAAGATCGTGTCTTGTGTCCAGTTACAACAAACCAACACGGGGCAGTCGACCTCATGCATCACTTCACTCTGCGTATCTTCCAAACAGAATGAGAACACATCCTCAACTAATGTACAGACAGGTCCCAGTGACTCCTGGACATCCTGCTATCATAGGACCGATGCTTTATCCATTCTCCTACCCCATATCTCACCCTGGATTGTCTAATGTGTTGCCAGTTTATCCTTATAAACATGAATGATTGATTTTTTGCTAACATCCACAATTTTTTGCTACAATAAAACATAATGAGGAAAGTGAAACAACCTAGAGTGCGATATTAAAGACCTATTCGGTTCCACATTTTTCCATGATTATTTTTATATAATCATATAATTTTTTGTGGCTCTCAAAAATGGGTATATGACATCTACCATTATCCTGATTAGATATTTTCTTAATTCAAAACAAGCAAATACCAATATGACATACCACAGTTACAGTGTTTATGAAGAGATAGGGGGAAAACTGAAATGTTAAATATTGTTCATATACAATTGTGTAATTGAATAAAATGTATAATAATAAAACAATCTTTAAATGTTGAACTTCTATCTCCGCAGTGTTTGTGAATCTACAGTAGGAAATGTGTTACATTTGTTCTATGTCAGTTATTGCATTCAACATGCACAGCATTTTACATATATTATATATTATATATCATTTCATATTTCTTCTTGGGTGGTACTGTGTGCACACAGTGCACTTTAACTAAAGTAACTAAAGTGAGTTTTTTTCCCTTTATGATAGACCAGTGTATTGTCTAGAGCCAGTCTAGAGCCCATAATATACTTCATTCCATATGGTAAAGGGTGTTGTTATAGCTCCATGTAGCGCCTTACAGACAAGACTCAGGGCACAAAAAGACCTCGCGGTAATATCGCGAGAAATTGTATCTGGCGCGAACTAAAGAGGAATTGTAAACAGTCAAATGCGACTGACAACAGACTGCGTAGTTTTATGTCATTACATTAGTCCTAGTTGGAACTTAATTTAGGAAGACATTATTTTGGATTCGGGAAATGGCAGAAATTTTGCCCGAAGACGACATCGACATCAACCAAGAGGAAGATGAAGACAGCCATGAGGATGTGATGACTCCCGCGGAGCTCATCGCAAAACTGGAAGAAGTGAGCGCGGACAGATATTTCTGCTTTCACGACATTATTACTTACTGTTGTTCTGTGTGTCCATGTGCAAGGCTTGGCTCAATGAGAAGTTTTCCCCGGAGCTCCTTGAGAACAAGTCTGAAGTGGTTGAGTGTGTAATGGAGCAGCTCACTCATATGGTAAAACTTAACATAAGCTGTCATTTACTTTCTTTACCCTGGTTGCATTATTTTACTGAAAATACAACATAAACTTTGTTTCCAATTATGTCTTCCACTTAATGCCAAACACACTCACGCACATATATTGAGACCAAACCAACTGGATTTCACCAAAGAGAAAAAAAAAAATTGGTATTTTGGTGATCAAAAACACCAAATGTTATCCTAAACAATCTAGCTTTTTCAATTCCGATGTTAATTCTTTGGCTGAAATAACAATACCAATATATGGTCGTTTCCCCTCGATTCACACCATATTGAATCAGAATCAGAATCATTTTTATTGCCACGTAAGTAACAGGAAGTCACAGACTTGGAAATTGCTTTGGCTCAGTGCAACAGTCAGAAAGAGATAATAAAAATAAGAATAAAAAACACTTCTAAGGAATACATTTAAATTTAAAATAGAGTTACAGTTACTATTTACAATATACAAGTGCACATGGTGCACACAATGTAAGGTGACAGCAGTACAGTGAAGTAAAGTGACGTATGATGGGCAGTAAAGTGACTTTATAAAGGGCGGGGGGACAGGTTAAGAAGTGTTCAAGAGTCCAACAGCAGAGGGGAAGAAACTGTTCTTGTGGCGGGAGGTTCTAGTCCTGATGGACTGTGACTGTTAATGTGTTATTTAAAAATAATTAATCCTATAAAACTAGCCTGGCCTTAGCCATCTGTAAACTCCGGTATATTATCATTGAAATTAAATTTGTAGATGCTATGGCAAGAGGTCCGTGTACTTTTGCATTCAATCCATTTTCTATATTTGAAGGGAAATTGAAAATCAAAAAAAGGCTATTTTGCATTTTCAGGCACACAGCAATATACAAAAATGACAATTTTTTATGTTATGTGAGATGTCAGTGAAAATGTAGTATTTTACAGATATTGCTTATCCCGTGTGAATGCACTGCAAAATCTCAGACGTCCTCCGTGATCATCACAAATTATCAGTGGTCCACAGGTAAAACTAATCCCGTGCGAGTGAACAAACTTGTTTCACTTCCGGGTAATCGATTGATGCCGAAATGTAAAAGGTTACTTATTGCATTTTCTAGTTCCCAAATCCGGTTATTATAATGTATATATATATGTCTTATAAGCAATGAAAAAAACCAAAATGATCATTTATGTATATATAAAAAATCATTTATGTATATTGCTATGTGCCTGAAAATGCAAAATAGCCTTTTTTTTCGATTTTTCATTTCCCTTCAAAAATGGAAAATGTATTGAACGCAAAAGTACACGGACCGTAAGACCAGACTACCATAGAGCGAGTTGTACGCAGAAGTAGAATCTCTACTACCTCCTGGGTTAGTTCACCCAGTAAGAAGTCTTATTAAGTCTATTGAAAGGCCCAACGGATATCAAGGAAACCAATCTTTGACTTGATACAACACATTTTCCTGATTATGCACTGAAATCTGGTGCCAGATTTGGGATCGGTCCATCACCAAAGAAGAGATTTGTTCAACTTTGTTGTGTTTTTCTATGTATATATATTTCATCCTAATTTCCTCAAGCCTCAACTTTGATAGTACTTACTGCATTTCTTGAAGAAATTTTCCATTCATGTTCCCCATCAGGAAGCTAATTTGCAGCGTGTGAAAAAAGGAGATGCCAAAGCCAGCATCCACCGAATGGAGATTGACCGGATTCGTTATGTACTCAGCAGCTACTTGCGTTCTCGTTTGCAGAAGGTATACCTGTTCAAATGTATTTTTGTATTTCCAATTGTCAACTTTTAATCTCGTTCAGATTGAAAAGTATTTCCCGCACGTCCTGGAGAAAGAGAAGACTCGAGAAATGGGTGACTCATCATTGCTTTCACCTGAAGAGTTTGCATTTGCCAAAGAGTAAGTACAATACTCAAATTAAAGCCACACAGTGTAACATTTAGAAGTGAACCATCCTCAACGGAAATTAACTGCTTAATACAATGGAATTGGATCCATTTTTCAATACAAACAAGAATGAGTCAGGTTTGGAAAGTAATCTTGCTCACTCTTAAGACAGATGTTTTTTTTATAGTGAATGGAATAAGTTTCTGCTAACCTTTGATGGCGCTTTGCACTGACAAGAAAAAGCACGTGGCCCCAAAAGCATGTGAACCTGTTAGAAAGACCTACATTTCTACTATCACAGAGTAAAGAATTATTTGTGCACATTGTCTTACTGTTGTAATGTTAGTTATGGCATTAAGCCTTCATCAAACAAATATCAAGTTTATGATGTGTCCATACATACGTGCCATAATAATAAGGATTAACAAACACATCCAGACAAATGTGTTTCAATTGTAAGTTGTCTCATGTCGCTCTCCAACTCCAGTTTGCCGAATCCCTAACTCAAAGGTTTAGATACCATTCTGTTTTTTTCTCTTATCAAAAACTTATTTCATGACAAACAAATGTACACTACTGGTACTGGTTTGTCATACCAAAGGGTTTGTGTAGTTTTTCTTTCATTCTGTGCACTTTCTTGTCTATAAGCTCTCATAAAAGTTTGAATTGATTTTTTAGATACTATGACAATACTGAGACATACTTGAAAGCTGTGGCACTGAAACGTATGCCTCCAAATCTGCAGACAATAGATCTGCTAAAAGCAGGTAACGGTCAAGGTTCTATTGTCTTTGAATTCTGATCAATGTTTCTCCAATTATTATCTCTTCCACATTTCCAGTTCCTGAACCATGTTTGGACTCGTTTGTGTTTTTGAGAGTGAAGGAAAGGCAGGAAAACATTTTGGTGGAACCTGAAACTGATGACCAGAGGTGAGTTGTGTATGCAGTTGCTGCCAGTGACCAGCAGGTGCCAGTGTTATATATTTGACTAAATAAATGGCGTCTAATAATTGCACATTGTATTGAACTCCACCAGAGAGTATGTTGTTGATCTTGAAGAGGGCTCTCAACATCTGATGCGATACAGAACGATAGCGCCACTCGTCTCAACTGGAGCTGTGCAGTTAATTTAGCTGCAGGGGTAAGTAACATCCTGTTTGACCCTCTCATATTAGGTAAGAAGTTTCACACTATTCAGTCAGGGATCCCAAAATATGTGCCATGTGACCCTCAAGATGGTAAATCCATATTGATGATGTGTATATTCAGTTATGTTGTGAATCAGTTTGATTCCTGGGGCGACAGTAGCTCAGTTGGTAGAGCACTGGTCTTTGGTCGTGGGTTCAAGCCCGCCACGACCCATGTCATCTGCTCCCACTGATGTATGCTGTCGTTGTGTCCCTGGGCAAGACACTTAACCCCACATTGCCTGAAGCCCCCGCTGAAAGACCAAGGCCTTGTCTTCAATCACGGAGAAGCCATCATCCCGTCGACTCTCCACCTGCAGGAGGATCAGCGAGGGACTGGTGCATTGAGCCTTGGGTGGCAGCTCTGATTGCCCCGACCCAGAAATGGAATTATAAAGGGGTAGAAAATGACATGACATGAGTTTGATTCCTGACGTTGATGTGCACATGTGGGAATTTGCTTGTCTTTTTTCAAATACTTGTGTTGTAAGTTTAAAAAAATCTTTTTATTTATTTAAGTCATCAATTGTGTTTTCATTTGGGGTTAATTTATTGTCTTTTAGAACTTAAAATGATCTCATTCCCTTTTACTTAATATCCCGTTAAGGATTTAAGGACCACTGTATTAAAGGCCTTGTAATTTGCATTGTCACATTTTTTTTAACCACAATGCACTGCCTAACGCATCTCTAGCTTTTCAGAACATTGTAATGGTGCGCTTTATAAATAAATATTATTTACTTAATTTTCTTCTCTCTTTCTCTTTGTTTTATTACATACTATAGTATTTTCTCTAAACTTGTATCCTTGTCTTTTGCAGGTTTTTCTTTGGGATTCCAGGAGACATGATCTTGCTACGTCAATCATCTATTTCTGACACTGAACCATCAAGAATAATGGAGAGGGACATGTGCCGTCACAGTTGTCATGATTTTGTGCTGTGTGCAAAGCTGACGGCTGAGATGACTCCGGTGCAAAGTGGCAGCACTTTCACGATTCTGTTGACAGTTCATTCTGATGACCTGCATATTCAGCCTTAGTTACGCTGCCCCGAAGCCTGACAGAGCACGTAGCAACAATGGACTTGTAGATGTGCCCATGTGGGAATAATGCGTTTGTCTTTTTTCAAATTGTTGTATGCTTTAAAAAACGTCTTTATATTTTGTCATTCACATTTGTCTTCAATTACATCTTCATAATCCTTTCTCATGGGAAAACATCTCCTGTATATAATTCTATGGAAGGTTATATAAGAATTTCAATTTGGCCAATCATCGCCTGTTTTTTGCTCTAAATTGACATAATTGGAACTATTATGGCCTGAGAGAAACTTGCTATGCTGGCAGCGAAATCGTTGCCTAAATATATAATTACATGTTTATTGCTGCTGTGCGGACAAAACCCCCATGACATTTTCATTACAGCCGACATAAACTGGTATTGTTAAGCTTGCTGGTATGACACAGCAGATGGAAAACAAAATATTTGGATATCATTTTGCTCTCTGACCACTACTTCAAAGGTCCTGGTGTTTTCTGCTCACTGTTTGCACTTCTATCAAAGCCTACTGAAGAACGATTGTCATAATTATTAGTTGCATGGCTGATTCAGTGACAATTAAAATAACAATGCCACATTTCTTTTACAACAATATATATTTTATTTGTGCCATGTGTAGCGCAGTAACCTCTGAGTGTGAAGGTGGAGCACTCACAGCTGGTGAAGCTGCCATGCCAGGAGTTGTTTGTAATCCTGCACTTACCACCGTCCCACATATCTCAGTCTAATTCCAAAGCCACCAGCCAACAAGTAGACGTTTCTCCATGATCAAACTGACAAGAAACTTTGTAAAAAGGAGTAAGAATAATACAGTACTGCTAATATGATGCAGCGATTGGTGGAAGGATTGAGAGGGTGGGATACAATGTGACATCTGAACTGAGGTAATATAAATAGGATATTGTGCTACATTTTCCTGGCAGGGAGTTGGGCTGACTGGGACCACTTGCTGTATTGCACTCCTGGATAAACCATACAATAATCCATTGCACTATAATGTAGAAAAAGAAAGTTTTGTTTTCCTCTAGAATCCAGCGTTGTCAAAACAGTGCAGCAGAGACGGGCAAGATGGAGGTGACCAGCTCAAGGTAAGACTATAAAACATAACTTGCATTGTTTGACAGTACTGTGCTTATGTTTCTGAAATTGAAATTAAGAACATTGATAAGATATGTAATAAATGATAATATTACGGCATGCCGTATATAGCAACAGATAGCAGTCTATAATAGCAACACGCTGATCGACACACAGCGTCACTGTATTCTGTGTGTTCCAGTCGTTCCAGTGCTCAGGCGTTGGTGGGTATTGGCTCCATGGCGCACTCTACTGGACTGTTGGAGATTGCAGTTCGCCTCTGCCTGAACCAGCGAAAACAGCTGTGTCCTCATGTTTGGGTCCCTATCCTGAAACCCATGCGCCCCTGTATCCGAGCTCAGGTTCCCCCCGAGACTTTCAGCCAATCATTTCTGTCCTTCTGGAACGAGTTTGACGATGATGACATAGATGTATTTCCTCTCAAGAACAAGCGTGTCATGTTTGCAGACACTAAGGGTTTGGCTTTGGCTGATGTCCGGATGTTCTCGGATAGAGAAGAGCCTTCAGATTTATCCATACTTCCGTCTTTTCAAGGTTTAAACCTCACAGAAGATAGCTACAGCTGCACAGTCAGTACCTGCTGTCCTGGGACACAACTCAAACTGGGGTTTCCACAGCCCTCAGCAGACTTCCAGGCTTTTCGAGCCAAACTTGAAAAAAGTATGGTCATCCTGGAGAACTGCAGCGTCTCTGAACAGGCTCTGCAGGGCACTCTTCGAGTCAAAAACATTTGCTTTCAGAAAGATGTGCACGTACGCATCACCTTCGATTCCTGGTACACTTTCAGGGATGCCCCTTGTGTGTATTTGCCAAAGCGTTTTGGTGGGCCACTGACCGATATCTTTGAGTTTGAAGTGCAGATTCCCAAAATACTTGATGCCAAAAGAAAGATAGAGTTTTGTTTAAAATATTTACCAGGAGAATATAGTGAACCTTTCTGGGATAATAACAATGGACAGAATTACAATGTCCTTGTGTGTGTAAATTCTCACCTCTGTCAGGGAATGAAGCCAAAGTAATTGGCAAAAAATTGTCTGTTTACACTATGTCTAAATGTTTAATTTTCCAATAAACCATGTCTCCTTTATGGGCTGTCCACTTTGATCACTGGTAAACTGTTGGTAAAGGCACTGGCCTTGTTGAAAAGGTGTTCAGAGGTATTTCAGTCACAGTTAGTGATATGTTTTGCACACAACTCTATCTGGAATCTTGGGCGAGTAAAGCCAACAGTCCAAGGTAAACATTTGTAACAGAACCATTCTTTACTCGTGTTTCTGAACTTTCATCTATCAATTTATAAATATGAAAAATTATTTGATTTGAACCCTGAGTGAGGAATGCAGTTCACCTTTTATGTCAGATGTGAGCTAATGTTATATAAATTTGATTTATCATAAGAAAGGCCATAGCCTTTGGAATGTTGACGGTACAAAAGATGTCAGTCGATCAAAATACTGATCTCTGACCATGACCCCAAAAGGCAGGCGTACTTAGTATGATTCAGTGTCAACGTCCCACACTAATGTTGCACACTTTGCAGCTTGGGTCTTTCTTAGCGTTGGCTGTGGTCAGACTCATGAGCTGGTGACCGCTGATCTGCTCCACTGTTCCCTGATCCACATGCACTGGTTCAGTAAAAAGCACCTCAAGGATTGCACCGCTGGCATGGCAGAACAGTGGCTCCTCTCCAGGCGTCTGAGGGGGAGTGTACGTGAGGAAAGGGTTGGAGGCCAAGTCCAGCATGGGGAGTCGGGTTCGACAATAGTTATCCCCCTCTGAGCCCACCGGAGCCAGCACCAGCACCACGTAATGGTAAGCTGTGTACATGCAGTAAAAATCTGCAAAATATAGACTTATGTTGTGATTGAGCAAGTGTTCGGCGGGGATCTGGAAGCGCAGTGGGCCATAAGGAGAGTCTTTAGGAGGGAGGCCAGTGTCAAACTCAGTGTTGCAGCTGAAGAAGACCCCATGTAACTTCCCATTGACAGGAGAACCGTGGCTTCCACTGTTGTCTTTGAGAGCTGGGTGCATCCACCCACCACACTCCTTTCTGGAAAATAACATTTGTATAACATTAATAGGGTGGAGCAGGATTAAAGATAAGGAGCTTTAGTTGCCCTGTAGGAAATTAGTGAAGAACAGTAAAATAAACAAAGCAAAACATACTTAAACCGGATGCTGCATACAACATTCATCTTGTGTATAAAGCAATATAGAAATAATAATATAAATATATAAAAACGAAGTTGTGTTGATGTACAGTGCAGCATATTGACTCAAATAAATCTTAATCGTGTGATGATACATCTGTCAAAGTTGTAGTCAGTATGTGTCCTGCACCTTGAGATCGAGCTCAAATTTTTTTGGGTGAGTAATTCTCAAAACTTTTCTATATAAGTCCTACATGCACTAGTTATCCATAATTACCACAAGTGTAGTATAATTCTTATATTTTGCTATATATATATACATTTGACCAAAGAGACAAAAATGTGGGGTATGAGAATTGCGCGTATATGCATTATGATGTTTTCTATACTACACAAACTAAGGCTATAAATGTAAAACGCTGACCTGACGTGGTTGAAATACTCTGGGTGCTGATTACGGTAAAACACAGAGAATTTGAGCAGTCTCCCAGCAGTGCCCTTCGCCTTCTCCTGGAGCTGCTGCAGGTGCTCAACGGCATAGTCTGCAAAAATAAGCAGAGATTGATGCATTTTGCTGTTCCGTCTCTACTAATATTCCACTACAATATCCTACAACCACAGGCTGCTTTTAATATGGCTTACCTCCAGTGCAGAACTCCACCACTGGACTCCACTCCGAGACCAGATAATCCCCATCTGCCTGTCGCACAGCAGTCTGCACAGCAACACAATAGTCCGTGCAGGGGCTGAGGAACCAGTGTCCTCGGACCGCCATGGGGAGAGGCACTGCTTTGGCCACCAGCTTAGTGGGCACATCCTGGGAACCAGAGAAGGCAATAGTGCTCTTAAAGCGTAGTATTTAGAATAGTTTTGTAGTAAGTATAAAGTATATTTACAAGGATGAAAATATTTTGAAATCTATGAAAAGCTTTTGTATGGACGTATCTACATAAGCTGTACATGTACTGTTGGCTTCTGTCACGTTGTTAGATCAGAAGAAGAATATCAAAAACAAATGAGTGAGATCTGTGTTCATGTCTTTTAAAAATATGTATTTGTACGTTTACATGTTGAGCTAAATGAATTAAAATGACTGTATAGTGCATGTGCTTGTTTAGTTGGTCACTCTTTATGTCGGTGGGTCTTAGTGTCATAGTCAGAGTTCTTTTAACAGTTGATTTTTGGCCTAATTTACGTGTTACTTTAATTAGAATTGTGGTTAATTGAAATTTGCCTTTTGTGTTTTCCTTCCTTGCCATCAGCCCTTTACAATGTATATATAATATGCATGCTTTGGTGTATGTATAGCATTTATAGTGACTTGCCTAAAGGAAGGAGTTGTTCTGTGCATTCGTTCATTATGCTTAGACATAGCTTCAGGAAAGACACATTTTTTTGTGTGTTCTATTGTAGACAGCAAATGTGAACATAATGATATAATTATGTGATAAACAAATGACCAAAAGTAACCTCAAATTCACATAAAAGAAACAACATCGGGACACTTTTGAATATCATCTGTAGTCCACTTTGATTGTAAATGGTGTAGACATGTCAAGTAACACCCAAACTGCTGTAAACGGCACGATCAACGCTCTAATCAGGGGCTTTGTTTTGGCCTTTAAGGATTTTTCAATACATAAAGCTCAAAGGCCCTAATCCATGGCTGATGTAAATGAATATACAGTTCTCAGAGAGAGCATATCCTGTATCTGAGGAGAACAGCCTCCATGGTTGTGACACAGCTTCCCAAATTAACCTTGTTTGAATTTACAGCAATCAAATACTAATTACTGCATGGAGAGTGCATTTTAAGAGCGGAAAGAGGAAGACTGAATAAACATGACAGGTGCTGATGAAAAGGGGAAAGACAGAACAAAAGGTACACCGCAATTAGATTAATGGTGTGGAACAGTATAGAATCAGGTGCTAAGACGGGATCCGAATGTTTTATCTGTTACTTACAAGGACAGCGTTGGTTAGATTTTGTCCACTTTGAGCAGAAGTGAGTCACTGGCCTACAGCTGTTGACTTTATTAGATTCTCCTTTTATTTTTTGGCGCAAACTGAAAGTGACTGAAAGGGCACAACCAGCGTTCACTGTGGCATGGCATCAAGAAGTGGTGAGACCAATAGGTTAACGTCAAAGTCCCAGCTCCAACCATTGCTCATCACTCAAACTTTAATCATTTAAAACGTATTTATAATATCTGCTCATAAATGTAGTCTGTGATAAATATAATAATAATAATGAATATCGTGCTATACAAATACTAATGCATAATATAAATAGCTCTTTTTGTTCACTCTACACAGTGGTGTTAAACTACTGCTGTTGCCACAACTGCCCTGGGACAGACTGACAGGAGCGAGACCTCTCCGACCATCATCAGTCATTCATGCACACACCAGGGCTGGGACTGTAACGAGACCAGACATACTGCTGCAGTTTCATGCTTAACAAGAATAGGGAAATTCTGAACAATAAAAATGTAGGTTCTCTAAAGAAGTACAAGGGTAAATGCAGAATAATGGAGAGGCACACTTGATAGACCTTTAGAGCATCTGTTTCTTAACTTCAAGCTCTCAGAAGTTCACTACGACTTGCACAAACCCAGTAAAATGTCAATGTCACCAGAATCCCATGCTCTGGCATTTTAATACAAAAAAGCTGATCTGGTTAAACCATAATCCCTAGAGACAACAGTAGTTGGGATACAGTGGATTACTGCCTTGTATTATCAATTATCTGGTAATGCGTTTAGTACCTTTCATCATAATCATCAAAGCACATATTTGGTATGAGGGAATTTATAATCACAGAGGCTTGACCACAACATATGAGGATGTAGCAAACAGCACATACCCGGTGTTTGAAACGGTTGGGATCCCTGTGATCTTTGCGACTCAGGTCGATGAAGAAGTGTGTGGCTCTGGCCGTGTCCTCGGGTGTCATGTCCCACATGATGCGGAAAGAATCACAGGTCACTTCACAAATCTGGATGTTGCACGGTGTACACAGACCAACCTCCATGTTATTATCTACCGGGGTATAAAGGAAGAGGGTTTCAAAGGGGAAGTCATTTTTCCACACAGTTTCAATAACAAAACATGAGTGTATTTATAGGATCCAATTAACCTTGGCAGTGTGTGATTGGCAATAATAACTGTTGTCTATAAAACATTTTTTATACCTGCTAACCTACTCATTCTATGATGACCTCACAGTTCAAGAGCACATTTGGTATACTTTTTGTACTATTGTAGAGTATATTTTAGGGTAGTTGTACCTGTTGTAATAAGTCAAAGTGTAATTCATAGATGTGTAGAAGCATGGACACTGCTTCTGCATTCTCTGTTGCAGGACTTTGGGAGGCACGTTTAACCTTTAATCAAGGAAAATATTGGAGGAAAACAATTGTGGCATTTAATAGAATAGAAAAGTTACACAATAACATGTACAATTGTCTGTAAGCTAGTTTTAAACCAAAGTAGGGTAAATTAACACAGAATATTTAGGCAAACAATGGTGTTTGTGTTGAAACAGTCTATGGTTGAAACACAGCTCTAAAATGTCCAGGTTATTATTGGACTTTATTAAATTATTTTATTCAATTATTCAACCTCCTCTAATTTGAACAAACGCTGCAGTGAAAAGCCTGATGCAGAGGTCAGAGAATGGTGCTTCAAGGTGTCATGTCGTATCATGTGGGAAGTGAATGTGTTTCATAATCCACCTACTACAGTTTCCCAGCAACATGTATTCCAGCAATCTCACTTTTATGTTGTCAATAAACCACAACAAACAGAAAGCGATAATGTGAAAAGCCTTAAAGGGTCATGGGGTACAGAACTAACCACATGGAACATGAACAATATATAAAAACACAAAATAATGAGCATAAAACGGAATGATGGCATTTATTTACATATATGTACAGTACATATCAATGAATTCATGTCAAAATTGTTTTTATAATTTCAAAATTATATTATATTAATAATAATTAAGACTTTGGTCCTATCCAGCCCTTGTGTAGTTCCAGTCAGGATGCCAAGGGAAAATAATATTCTCCATTAAAAATGAATAAAAAAGTAGTCTATCAGATTTATGCTGTTATTTGTTCCTTGCAGCTGTTCTTACAGTTTGCTTCTTGATCTCATTTTCACAGCGCATGGCATCGTCCCTTTCATCAAACGTCCCCTCGTGCTGTGCAGATAAAAATAGCCTTTCCTGCACTATAGAAAGAAACAAACTATCTTTCCACGCTGCTCATTTCTAGATCTCACACACTTCTTGTAAACCCTATAACCCCTTTAACCCCGTGCTGGTTCAGAGCGTCCTCGGGATGATGGACAGAGCACATCAGGCCGTGGGACGGTGGTGTCAAGCTTATATGGGTCTATAGTTTTCCAGCTGCTCTTCTAAATCCATACCGCCTCTCGGAGCAGGAAAGTGGGGCATGCGGAGCCTCCCAGGACAGGCATCATCAAAGCCCCGTTTCTCCACTTGCTCCACTTAAAGATCCGAGTGTTGCTCACAGTTCAAAAGCAGGTTTCTGTATCACTATTCACCATGGCCTCGTTTATTAATGAGTCGACGCAGCGGCGCATATGAGCGGCAGATGTGTGTAATCATGCAACTGGGTCTGTGACTAATGGTTCTGACACATAGGGCTCATAATTACATTTGCCCCTCATTCCCTCATTTGCCCCGCGCGCATCTGTGCGCCAGCAGCCCGAACTTTACGGCCACGCGCGCGCGTTCACGCAGATTGTTATCTCTGTCAAACGATGAAAGGAGCTGCTGCATTTATTCATAGAGTCCCAGTTCAAAGTCATTTACTTTTTTCCCAGAGACAGTGTTGTAAGATGCTCCACCACTGGGAGAAAAGAGGAGGAGTAAATGAACTGCTACTTTTCATGTAATGTGCAATCATGCACAAAGGCTAACAATCAGCCATACATGAAATCCACAATCCGCAACTAAGCAGCAAACCGTCTTGTTAAGTGAACTCTATGTTATTATCTCTTCTTTGCAGTATTTTTCTATAGACTGTATACTGTTGCAAAAAATATCCATTTTACCATTGCAGGCTTCACACCAGATGTTTTTTACTGTCACAGCAGGTAGACATATTAACATAAACTTTAATATTTTGTGTGTGTGGATCACAAAAAAGCCATATAATTAATTATTCAATCTCACTCTAATGGCAAATAATCTGCAGGTATACGCAGTAGTAACATTATCATTTAACCAGGCTTGTGACAGTCAACATGCTTCTCGGTCATCTCATTTAACATTTGGTTTTGTCACTCAATTTTTGTTATCTAATTTTGAACAAATATTATTACATCTGTTAAACCTATGATACCATACTGTAGCATTATTGAGCATCTAAAAGAAAATGTATAGAGGCACTTACTTGGATGAAGTTCAATGAAGATAAGGAGAAAATTCAAGGTTTAAAAAAAACTGATTTGTAGCAGAACTGAACACTGACTTATCCTCTATCCTCACTTCTCATACTGCCCGGTTTCTGCTCTATGGTACACACACAAATGCTCCACCACCAACACCCCCTCCTCTTCCCCCTCCCAATCCTGTTTAGCTTTGGGCTCCATGGATAATGTTTACTTAGCTCGACGCATCTGCACGGGATGTATTAAACCCTAAAAGAGGCAGTGCACGGCTGGCCAAAGCAAGTGCATACTGGGTGAGATAATCAGTGAACCTCTTCAGCATCACGCTCTCTCCAGCCAACCATGACACGGAAAGGTCTGCCCCAAGGCGCTCAATCTTCAAACACTCTATAGTAATAGCCTGCATGCTGCTTATGAATGAGGACACTTAGATATAGTCCCTAATGTCAGAATGTGTGAATAAACATTTGATTCACTTTGCACAGCACATTCAGACAGGCAGGGATTATGCTGTTAGCAGTGTCCCAGTAAAATCCACACAAACACAAAACTATACATGCGCCAACTGTTATGCCATATGGGCTGACTCCACAGGGCATCCCTCCAGGGCTTTCACAAGCGTGCATGCCACTAGGACTTGTAAGTAGATTTTAGCGGCATGGAATATTTTTGACTGGTCTGACATAGGGCATCTTCATTAGGGATATAAAAGATTAAAAATAATCATTCCAGTGCCTTATAAGATTAGTGTAATCTGGGACATAAACAGTGACCAATTTAAGGGAATAAGAAAAAACTAAAATAAATGAACCCTGTGAACTGCACACATGGGACTTCTTAATACCCAATAGTGATGACAGTGATATATTGTTCTAATCCAACAGACTGTGTACGGCATAAAAAGCATATTTCATTTGAAGCCGGCCACAGATATAGAACTATCAGGTGAAAAGTCTATTCATCAGGTCTTGAGACTGTATTCATCCATCAACCCTGAAATGAAAGCCTCTCCTCTGTTTCTTTACTCTCTGTCTATAATTCATGTGTATGTGAAAATATTGATCATAATGTGTAATGTATTGATAGATAAAGGCAGTGGTGGCATCAGAAATGTGTTCCTGGAAGTGAGGCCCATGAGATGTGGCATGGCTGTCCTGCATGTGCCATGCATTGAGTGGGCAAATGACTGAAAAGTGACAGCATTACCTCAATATCTAGGGATTCAAAATGTGAATTTAGAGTTTGACCTTGGTTGAATATAATAAGTTAATTGCAAAATGCTGGTAGTTATGCGATTACAAAATTGAATTGACTAAACAGCTAAATATTGATAATCTACTAAAAACTGGTCTCTGGCTCAACAGACTTGAACACTATCTGCAAACAGATGTGTGTCATCAGTCCTGGATATGTATGTTTTTCTGCTCCCACAGTGTCTTTTTCTTGCCAAGAAGGATTCAACAGGGGATGCTGCGGGACATTTATCCATTTCATACATTCCTGTGAAAATTGGTTAAAATGAATACATTTACTGTTTTAGTTGTTTGAAAGCTTGTTATTGGCATTTTTTGTGTGAAGTTCCTAGGGACGATTGTTGCTGTGATTTTGGGCAGTACACAAATCCGCCATGGATTTAACCGTTAACTCAAGGGATTATGTTTTGCTTGCATTTCATGTCATCACCATGCGAGGCGCTATTACGTTAAGGAGAATTCAGTTGATAATTTTGTTTCATAACATAATTTATTAGAGGTAGGCTTAGAAAATATGCTACTTGGATGCAGCATAATAGGTACTTAAATAAAAAAGTCTATTTAGCATATTCACTGACAAACTCACGAGGCCCTCCTTGCTCACGTGATGATCACAAATAACAACCAGGAAGTGTCATGGCGCCGCTGTCCATGCAGTCTGAACACGAATAGAGCGCTTTTAACGCGAATTCTCGTTTGATTCCTTTAAGATTTGAGATATTTCCTTACATCAGAAAATCCGGAATATCAAAGGTATTTATCTTAGTGATTATTGGTTTTAAATATCTATTTACATGTAGAGGGTGCTTCATTGTGCTTCACACGTGTTGCAAGGAACAGTCTATGTTGCAACATTAGCTTACGGTATACTTTCTCATCAATTAAGTCAATAAAGGTGACGATACCATGATTTCTTCTTTGAGACTTCTGCCTATGAAATAAGCTTAAAGGGACCGTATGTAATGTTAATTGTCAAGTAAGTAAGTAATTACAATTACAATCCAAAACTTGTGTTGCCAAAATCTTCCTGTCTGTGATACGTGTAACTTCTAAGTACTGATTAAAATAAGATGAGATAAACTTTATTGACACTATCACAATGGAGAAATCTACATGTCACATTTGGCATAAAATATAGTATCACTCAGGTTGTGCCAAAAGACAGGAACTGTGCAAACATATGAAAGGTTAAAAATATAGTCTCTTTATACAGGATGTATTATGTACATATATGGCTATAGCAGTGCGTTCTATTTTCAGTCCTAGTGCAAGTTATTAGTGACTTAGTGACTCATTGTACAGTCTGACAGCGGTGGGGATAAAGGCCCTACGGTAGCACTCCTTCTTGCACTGAGGGTGCCTCAGTCTTCCACTGAAGCCTCTCCTCAGCTCCTCTACAGTCCTGTGCAGTGGGAGGTGTTGTCCATGATGGAGGTGACTTTGACTAGCACCCTCCTGTCCCTCACCGCCTCTTGAGTCGAGGAGGAGCCCAGAGCGGAGCTGGCCCTCCTGAGCAGCTTTTTCAGTCTACTCCTGTCCCGCTCTGTGCTGCCCCGGGGCCCAGCACACGGCAGCGTAGTGTATGGCAGAAGCTACCACAGAGTCAAAAAAAAAAACAAGAGCAGAGGCCTGCTCACTCCGAAGGACCTCAGCCTCCTCAGAAGGTGGAGGCGACTTACTTATGTAAACCACCTGCTGTGATTAAACTAGAAACGGTAGACTTTTTTTGGTTCGTGTTGTGAACATGAATATTATGGACATCATGCCCATTATATTTTTAATAATTGCACTATTATTACTTTTGTTCAGGAAGGGCTAATGTTATTTGTACATGCCGATCTATTATCTGAAGACACAAAAAATGTAAAATTAAGGATTTAAAATGAAAATATTACATTATCTCACTTTTCTTAAGTTTTAAAGTTAATTATGTAGTATTTTGCAAGAGTTCAGATTTTGACACTCATAGACTGTGTTGTAGCAGCATGTTTCCATGGCAACATGTCCCTTAGGATGCTGTTTACACCCTCAATAAAATGTGGTTCAATAAACTACTACTAATAGAATTCTAATCAATTTCGTTGTCTTCTGATTGTATTCTGATTCAGGATGGCTGACTCCGGGACGGGTGACTCCACTAATCCAAGAGTCCCAAACCCCAGTGGAAGTGGGATGGGTCTTCTTGCGGGCCGCAGAACATCTGCGGGCCTTTCACCTGGACGAATGCCCTCTATACGCTCTCGAGATTTGACTTTGGGTGGTGTGAAAAAGGTATATAGACATTTTGAAAAAGATTCATTGTTTAAGTAAGCATTTATTTTGTGAATATTTTGTAGAAAACATTTGCCCCCAACATTATTGGACGTAAAGCCAAAGAAGAGTAAGTACTCTTTGTACAGTTTTGACACTTGGTGCAGTTTTGATCACTTGAAACTATTCAGTATTTCAAGAGAATCCATTTCCATTTGATAGAACTAAAGGAACCGAGGGAGCACAGCGGCGAGAGAGGAGGGAAGACCGAGGCCGAGGCCGAGGCGATCGAGGCAGAGGCAGAGGTCGAGGAGCTGATCTCATTCAGTCCCACTCCATCTTTGAGCAAGCCCCTGCTGAGACGTTGCTAAAAAAGAAAGGTGCAATTATCTTTCTGGATTTCTTTAAACCACCATCTTACATATGTTCACAATGTAATAGGATACATTTGAGATTTTATATCTGACTTAGTTTGTTTCTTGTAGGTGTTTACGAGAGTGAAAGAGAAGCCCCCAGCATGGGACCTTCAATTATCAATATTAAAAAAGAGTACAGAGAGTCGGAGGAGGAAACCAAAGAGATTCTACGCAAACTTGAGAGAGATAATGTAAGTCAACTCGATGTAATTTAATGTATATTTACTGTCAATAATTATTAAAATGTTCATGTTTTATAGTTCATAGATGATCCCATTCTAAGAAGTGAACGGCGGAGTTGCCCAGTACAACTTCCTCTTGCTGTGTCAGGATGGGGATTTAAGGAAGAGTTTAAAGTGAAAACTGAGAAAGTAGAAGAGGAGTTGGAACCAATGGACACAGTACCTGAAGGTCATTCATTTCATTTGTGACAATATCAATTCAAATCAACTGCAGCATCGCCTGCTTTTCATAGGCCAGTTATAAAACAAAAGGCTGTTTGTGATTTCAAGCGACTAAATTCAGTTTTACGATTTTCTTCATCATGTTTTGTTTCAGTTCATTCAGCTTGCATAATAATGCCATAATGATCATTTTTCCTTTTGACAATTAAGAAAAAGAGGTGGTCAAGATGCCTGAGGAAACCTTCAGACCCCCTCCTCTCCCCGAGCCAGAGGTTCTGCCAGATCTGATGCATAAATGGAGTTTGAGCAAAGGAGAGGAGCTTTTCTTTATGCAACTTCCAGACTCTCTGCCTGGACAACCTCCCACTAAAGAGAGCAAGCCAGTGAAAACAGAAGTGCAATCTGAAACTGGGCAGTCCATGCTAATCAAGACAGAAACACAGGTATATAGACCAGGTCCCGACCCCCACTTTGGGAACCACTGATATAGACATAAGTGTGACCCCAGAAATATTTTGTTGAAAAATGTTTGTCTGCTAATTAACAGGAGGACGAATCTGAGGAAAATTGCTGCAGTCTGAAGGATCTACGTGAGGGTCTAATAGGAAAGATGTTGGTGAGGAAGTCTGGGCGAGTGCAGCTTATATTGGGACAAGTGACACTTGATGTGGCTTTAGGGACAACCTGCTCATTTCTACAGGTCTGCACATTCACACATGGAACATTGAGTTCATTACTTACATTGACTTTTATTTTCTCTTTTCTCTAACAGGAACTCGTCTCTGTTGGAACTGAAGGAAAAGGGGGCGACCTGACTGTTTTAGGACACTTAAAACATAAAATGGTTTGTTCTCCAGATTTTGAAGCTCTTTTACAAACGAGTGCCTGATGATGGAAAAACACAGTGCCAAAGATCTTGTCAACTGTAAAGGAAGTTATTGAGACACTAATATTTAAACTAAATAAAGCTATCTTTAAGTTGTTATAATAACTACCTGAAAACGACTGACTGTACTTGATAACTTTAAACAACTAGGTTATGGTAAAATTGTGAATAAAACCATGCTATCCCAAGAATCTTCAGACGTATTTCAATTGTTTCAGTAAAGATAACCCAGGCAGACTAATTTCCCTGGAAAACTAGCTTTGAGCCAATCCCTGTATTCATTAATACCATGGAAGTATTCTATTATGATAAATACACACTGTTGCACTCCTTCAAATAAATAAAACTATGCCACCTGGTGGAATAACTTTATAGGTCTGTATATTTCTGTAGTATCCCTATTGTCTGGAAGTGTGAATTAAAGGGGACATATCATGAAAAATCCACTTTTTGTGCCTTAAATGCCTGATGTTGTGAAGTTGGAGCCTCTAGAAGTGCAAAAAAGTTGAAATCAGTCTCTTCATGGGTTGCAGAGAACACTTCATATTCTGTTTAGGTAAGATTTTTCAACCCGTTCTGATTTTGCCATTCTCTATTACGTGTTTAGAATTATTACGTCACAGTATTTGCAGCGAGACTGCTATATAAGGGCATGGGCGTCTAACAAAACACTTCGGCCCAGCCCTCCTCTTCTGTGCTTCACTTCATTTGTAGTCCAAGCTCAAGGATGCCAGCGCACAGGGCTGGACTGGCCATCGGGCGTACCGGGCAATGCCCAAAGGGCAATGCCCATATTTGGGCCGGTCTCTCTGCCTCATACAAAACACATGTTAATGAGAAGTGTAAATCAGTTGAGAATTGTTGGAGCGGGGCGCGCGTATCCGCGGGGCACCTGCTGTATGTACTCGAACGGGATTCCGCCACCTCAGCGGCCGCAGTGTTCCGGGGCATCTGCGGCCGCTTTGTAATGAGCAGCTTCCGCGTCCAGCGGCTGCGAGAGGCTGTGAGCGTCCAGCCGCTCGCAGCCGCTCCACCGTGTTGTGGCTGAGCGCGCAGCCTCATCGTGGCCATGTACCCAACCCCATAAACGCGCACAGGACCATGCGTGTCTTTGAGTAATCTGTGCACCCAATAAATACACTGCTGCAGGAAACAGTCCGCGTCTCCCCTCTCCTCTCGAAGTGCGATTAAACGCCCTAAATAAAGCTCTGATATCTACATTTTGCATTGCATTAAAAGTTCATGTTTGAGCCCAAAAGTAATATGTTGTGAACAAATTAAACAGATTTAGAGCCAGCAAATGGCTGACAATATGCATTTCAGTCTTATTTGACCAATTCTCATCCCTGTAACAAACAATAGTGTTGTCTGTGTCCACCTCCCTCACTCTGAGACATGTTTATTACTCTCTTTAATGTAGACTATTGCATTTTATTTTATTGTTGAAACTGCACATATCCTGACCCTCTACAGTATTTGCTTCCACATACTGTATAAACTAGGAGTCGGCAACCTGCGGCTCTGGAGGCGCATGCGTCTCTTTCCTTCTGTAGAAGGAAAAACGTTCTTAACGTTTTAAATGCTGTAAAATTGTGCATAAGTAATATTCAATTTAAACATTTCTGTCAACGTGTCTGTCAAACCGGCGTGTGAGCATCATAGACTGCGCATGGATCCTAAAGCTAAAAAGAGAAGAGTCGATAATAAGACTGGACTAAGAATGAAAATTAACATTTGCTTTCAGTCAATGAGGAAGGACTGCTTCATGTTTGCGATGTAATGAGAAGTTTCTATGAGATAATTGTATCTGTGCTTAGAAACTACAAAAATGGCCGCTCGGGGTGGAGTTGAACCTGTGTCACCTGGATGGGGGTGTGGTCAAAAGCGCCTCATTTGCATTTAAAGAGACAGCACCAAAACAGGTTGCTCTCAGACGCACCTCAGAACAGGTGTAGAAGAAAGGCCCGTGGAGCAACAAATAATGAGACTCAGACCCAGGCATTGCAGTTACGCTTTATATAGGCCACAAATTAATGATTTAGATGTAAAAATCAATTATTTGAAAACACGATATGTCCACTTTAATGTTATGATTAGATAAGATTTTTGTTATATAAGATGTTAAGTCTTGTTAGCTTTTCAAATATGGTGTTGTGCAAGGTAAGCATATTCCTAGGGTAAGCAAGAATAAAGACAAGGTAAAATCCCACAGTAGTGCATTGTGAGTGTTGCATCATGTGTACAAATATAGAAAGCACACTAAACAATAATTTAACGATGATTTTTGTTGTGTTCAGTGTGACCAATGCATAACATAACAATGACACCATTCAATCACGGAGCTGTGATTGTGTCATAGACCGTTTGAGTACCTCTTTTCTATTGAGTCTAATCGTGAGCGTGCAGTAGCTTGTAATCGCCGCCAGGGGGACTCCTACAGATGGTGGAGCTCAGAACAGCGATGAGGCCAGGCGGAGTTTACTGTCCGCAGACAAAGACCAGGGATGGGCGATGAAGCCCCACAAACCCGGATCTGGACACGTTACAAGAGGTCAGTCACGATTGACGGACAGACGAAACTTTCTCTCACATCTGACAACATATTATTACTAATGTTTTGCCAGTGCTAGTCCGAGGCAGCTAAACGCGCACCAGTATTAATGTAGCAGCGTGGAGGCCAGCTAAGTTTAGCATGGAGTTCAATTCTCTTTTTATCACTTCCTTGGGCCACTTTCCATATGGGTAAACGTATATTAGCCAGTACGTGCTATTTATTTCTACAAAATAATATTTAATAAAGTAAAACAATAATCTAGTGCTGAGAGGCACCGGTGGAAGCTATGCTCCTCTCGCCTGGATGCGGGATGGCTGCATCATCATAGGGGAGGGCCTTAGCATAGCAGTCTTATCTCTCCATTCAGGGCTTTTTGTGTTCTGTTATTGTACTCAACAGTAACAGCGTTTCTGCATGTGCTGTCCCCTTGACGTGTTGTGTACGCAGTTCAGAATTCCGATTAATAGGCGTTTTATAGCTACGTCATAAAGAAGCACCATGGGTTGATATCGCAATAATATAATAATAATATTATATATTATATATATATTATATTATTATAGTATTATGCTACTTGACAAACTTCCTTGTTTTTTCTTTTTCAGTTTTTTCTTGATTTTAAACATCAGTCGCTCTTCCTTTGGAAAGGTCTTCCTGCTGTGACCAGTTGTTCATTGTTTACATCTTTGCACCATTGGGGGATCAAATACCAAGGGACATCTGCTGCAACAGGACCACATCCTTCAAGAACCCCTCTTCCTTGGGACTGAATCGTCTCGTCGGAAGAAGGATAGTGTATTGGATACAGAGCATGGCGTGCATTGGATACAGAAAAACTATCGATGTGGCATCGGAATTTTTGTTATAAAAGCCATGACAAATAAATGGCGAACAACCTTTAGACAGAACATGCTGAGGACTGGGGTTTAAACAGCACTCCATCATCTCTTGTGGTGGTTAACACATGTGTAATAGTTATTGGCTCTATTTCAAGATGGAGTTTTTGTTTAACCCCTTTGACAATTTGGTGTGTATTTTGCTTGGTATATCTTTCACTGTCTGGGTCACTCTGCTCCTGGTTTTTATCATTGTTCCTGCCATTCTTGGTGTTTCATTTGGCATCCGAAGGCTATATATGAAAACCCTGCTCAAAATCTTTGAGGTAAGAATTTACATTTTTAATGAAAACTATTTTCACTTTTGAAATGAATATAATTATTCAACTCCAGATAATACTTTAAAAAAAAATATATATATATATATATAAAATTATTATTTTATATATATAAAATAATAATGTTATATATATATATATATATATATATATATAATTATTATTTTATTTTATTATTCAGCTATAATTTTATTATAGCTGAATACATCTCCAGCGTCTGAAGCTGTCGAAACTTTCTGGGTGCCTCTTGGAAGAGAGCAAGATATTTGAGATGTGCTCTGCTCTGGAGAGAAGTTCAAAGGGCAACTACAGTACAGGCTGCGCAGATAAATTATCATCTCCTCTGAACCTACTGATTGTTTCTTTTGCACTTTATGAAAAGTTGTATTATGTATTCTGTCCTCATGCGGATGTTTGTGTAGTGATATTTACTTAGGCCTATCTTGTCTCTTATCTGACTGATGACTATCATGGCTTGTTGTTACATGTCTGATATTGAGAAAACAAAACAGCAGCACGTTTTGAGTTCAGCTGTTTTCTAATTTGAGCTACTGTAGTCACTTATTCAAAGATGACACACAAATATGTCTATTACCTGTATAGTGAAATAACCGGATTTCTATTTTTTTCTCAGAATGACTGGAATTTTAATTCTTTAGTTTCAGTTCCACCAATATCCACCTCTGCTCATGCTTGATTTCATTCGAGTATGTAGTGATTTTACTCAGTTATAGGACTATTGTGATGGTTTTGCCGATCTCTATTTTTCTTTTATGATGTGTGTCTCACATTACATGTCCAACCCATATATTTTTTCTTCAATAGTGGGCCACTCTTAGATTGGAAAGGGGTGCAAAAGAGAAAAATCACCCTCTTTACAAACCATATTCAAATGGTGAGTCATCTCATTGTAGTCTTATGAAAATGCATCCATAATTACCTTACAGACTAATATATAACCTGATTCCTCAGCAATCATTGCCAAGGAGCCAACCTCACTGGAAGAAGAGATTAAAGAGATCCGACGCAGTGGGAGCAACAAAGACTTGGACTCGGCAACAGAGTTTGAGATGTCGGACATCTTTTACTTCGCTCGTCAAGGAGTGGAAAGCATTATGGACGATGAAGTCACAAAAAGGTTCTCTGCAGAGGAACTAGAATCTTGGAACCTGCTCACTCGGAGCAACTACAACTTCCACTATATCAGCCTCAGACTGACTGTCCTCTGGGGCCTGGGGCTGCTCATCCGCTATGGGCTCCTACTGCCACTCAGGTATCTGCACAACGCACTATCGCTGTAGTTGTTAGGGGAATGATATGCAATTAAGGCACCTTGTGGCGACATAATTTTCATCAATGTTTATGTAGTGCAGTTCACTGGTTGTATCAGGAAAACTATCGGTTCATTTGATAAGCTGTAGTTCTCCTAAAGCTCTCCTGTAGATACTTCTGCTGCTAAGTTTGTGGCCGAGGAGGCGAACAGTGTTATGGGAGGCTCTTGTCCAGCTCTCAGAGGGGAGTTGGATCAGGCCACATTCTTTCTTTTTTTCCTTGTGAAATATAATGGGACTTTCCCAGAAACACCACCCCAAGGTGGCGCTCAGGAGGCATCCAAAACGCATGCCACCTCAACTTTCTCCTCTCGATGTCGATAGAAGCTCTACTCAGAGCTCCTCACCCTATCTCTAAGGGAGTGCCCAGCCAGTCTGCGGATGAAGCTCATTTTGATTTCTTGTGTCCGCGATCTCGCCCTTCTGTAATTATCTTGCTTTCTTTCTTATAAAAGATTGTGTTCTGTTGTTAGGGTAACTCTTGCCTTCACTGGCGTGGGCCTCCTTGTGTTTCTCACCTCTTTGATTGGATTATTACCAAATGGAAGGTAATGATACAAAATAATTATAATTTGACCATTTTAATTAAATAATTTGAAGACATTTAAAGTTGTTATCTGTATCCCTCACATATAATTGTGTGTCCTTTTTGCTGCAGGATAAAAAACATGTTGAGTGAAAAAGTGCATTTGATGTGCTATAGAATATGTGTCAGAGCGTTGACTGCAATCATCACATACCATGACAGGTGAGTTTACACACTAATGTATAGAAACCAGTTCATTCTGTCTCTTCTGAACGCTGTTATATAGAATGTTTTTTATAGCACTTGACAGTAGGGCTGGGCGGTATAAACGGTATAAGCGGTATGCGGTATAAATTTGGCCCACGGTAGAGATTTTTGTTATACCGGCATATTGCGATAGGTCATTATGTCATCAAATTGCGCAGGCTCTGATGCCAGCAGAAAGGACCAAAACAAACCGGCATTCAGCAGCATTAGCCTAGCACTATTAGCCTAGCAGACACCACTGGAAACAACAGCACGGCTTTCACACCGTGTTTCTGTCTCTGTATTGGTCACAGCGGCCCCAGCGGAGGTAAATACACACACAGCAATCACAGTTTACATGTCTACCTTTCGGCCAATGAGTGTCAAAGGGGCGTAGGCTCGAAGCGCCATCGTGAGCCAAAATAGATCCATGCTTGTGCCGTGTCCGCATCATCTCAGAAGTTTTGTAAAGTTAGCGTCCGATTCAGACTTCCGCGGTCAATAGATCACGAAAGCTACTTTGTTAAACAAAAGTAATTGTGCCAAAATGAGCATTTACATCAATTGTTCAAATCAAATGCGCTGTTTTAATGCAGATAAATCCATTGAATCATCCAGTTCACAGCAAGCGCTTAGGGAGCGTCAACAAATGGCAAGACTAGCTTTGTAAACGAACAATAGCTTTTACTGGAGCCATGCATACGCACTAAACTCTGACACTATAAATAATGACCATGTCTAACTGCTACAGATATTATATAATATATTTTATATTTTTATATTATTTAAAATTGCTTTCACAGTTAATGGTCTTTACTGTAACATACATAAATAATGTATGTTACAGCATTTGTCTCTCACCTGATTTTCAAACTCAAAAAATATATATCAGATTCTAATGTATAGATAAGTAACAATCTTGACTATTTTATGCAAGAACCTGCTAAACCTATATTGAAATTCACACACCAAATTATACCGTGATGTATACCGTCTACCGTCTGTGACCCAAATCATACCGCGATATGAATTTTAGGCCATATCGCCCACCCCTACTTGACAGTGTTGTGCGTGAACGAGTTCAAAAGAACGCGTTCATTGAACACGCTCATTTTTTCGTGAACGTTGAACTGAACGCAACACATTTTTTAATAAAGAACTTGAACGTGAATTAGTTCATATTATGTGTCATGAACGGCAGACACATTTTTTTTCCATTGAAAACGGAGTGAAATCTGTTTTCTCTTTTGAAACGCAACGAGAGAAAGTTCCTCCCTCCTGTATTCTCCGCACTGTTTCCGCCGAAAAATAAAAATTCCTACGGTTTCCACCGTCTGTGAACGCACCCCAACTCAGTGTACTACTTGCGGTGCGGCGCTGTGAGCTAGTGCTATTCATTGGTTGTTGGACTCACATGTGCCGTGATGAAAACACAGGGGTAAGTCAGTGACACAGGGCCGTTTACATTTGACATAAAATATAGACACACGTTCTGCAGCGCATTACAGTTTGTACTTATGAGCAGAGATGGGACAACTCAGTTCCCATTGAAACCCATGTAAATCTTGAAACCCATGTAAATTGGAGCACATCCTGTGCAGTGTCCAGGATATAATATATATATATATATATTATATATATATTATATATTTATATTTGATTTCTAGCTTGTAGTGAAAAAAAGTATTTATTTGAATATCTCTCGCAAAAAGTAAAATGAACTGAACTTTGAACGTGAACTGTTCACTTTGAGCATGTATGAACTGAACTTGAACTAGTTCATAAAAGTTGTGAACTGGCACAACACTGGCACTTGAGCATTAAGCCAATGCCTAACATAGCATTATAAATTCATTTTACTACTGTAGAAGAATAATTCACACACCAGACTCAAACATAGCAATGTGGGTGAAGTGCCTTGCCAAATGGACACAACAGTTCGCTCCTTATACAGTCACAGCCGCTATGACAAAAAGCATATAATGTCAAATTAAAGAATACAAATGAAGAGGAGTAAAGTAGTTCCCCATCCAAATTGGGTTTGTCTAGTTGAAAGTGGTCTTTGCCTAAGTAGTTAAAAAATAAAATAAAATAAAATGTATATATATATAAATAAATAAAAAATTGTCCACTCACCTTTGGCCCTCTGCGGGCGGTTATCCCTCTCCAAGCTCGGGTCCTCTACCAGAGGCCTGGGAGCTTGAGGGTTCTGCGCAGTATTTTTGCTGTTCCTAGCACTGCACATTTCTGGACCGAGATGTCCGAGGTTGTTCCAGGGATCCGCTGTAACCACTCTTCTAGCTTCGGGGTCACTGCCCCGAGTGCACCGATCACCACGGGCACTACTGTCACCTTTACCCTCCAGGCCCTCTCCAGCTCCTCTCTGAGACCTTGGTATTTCTCAAGCTTTTCATGTTCTTTTTTCCGGATGTTACCATCGCTTGGAATTGCCACGTCCACCACCACGGCTGTCCTCTGCCCTTTGTCCACCACCACGATGTCAGGTTGGTTCGCCATTACCATTCGGTCGGTCTGTATCTGGAAGTCCCACAGGATCTTTGCACGCTCATTCTCCACCACCTTTGGAGGAGTTTCCCACTTAGACCTTGGGGTTTCCAGCCCATACTCTGCACAGATGTTTCTGTACACTATGCCAGCCACTTGGTTATGGCGTTCCATGTAGGCCTTCCCTGCCAGCATCTTGCACCCTGCAGTTATGTGTTGGATCGTCTCAGGTGCCTCTTTGCACAACCGACACCTTGGGTCTTGTCTGATGTGGTATATCTGGGCCTCTATCGCTCTGGTGCTCAGTGCCTGTTCTTGTGCTGCCATGATGAGTGCCTCTGTGCTGTCCTGTAGGCCAGCCCTTTCTAGCCATTGGTAGGACTTCTTGAGATCAGCCACTTCTGTTATGCTCCGGTGGTACATGCCATGATGGGCTCTCCTCCAGCACCTCCTCATCTCGCCACTGCCTGAGACATTCACTGAGTACGTCATCCGTTTTGGCCTTCTCCATGATGTAGTTATGGAGTTTGGATGTTTCGTCCTGGACACTGGCTCTCACACTCACTAGTCCTCGGCCTCCTTCTTTACGGCTTACGTACAGTCTCAGGGTGTTGGATTTGGGATGGAACCCGCCATGCATGGTAAGGAGCTTTCGAGTTTTAACATCCGTGGTCTGAATCTCTTCCTTTGGCCACCTGATTATTCCTGCAGGGTATCTGATCACTGGCAGGGCATAGCTGTTAATTGCCCGGGCCTTGTTCTTGCCATTGAGCCGGCTTCTTAGGACCTGCCTTACTCGCTGGAGGTATTTGGCAGTTGCCGCTTTCCTCGTCACCTGTTCGAGGTTGCCATTTGCCTGTGGTATACCGAGATACTTGTAACTGTCCTCAACGTCTGCTATTGTTCCCTCTGGGAGTGAGATCCCTTCTGTGTGGACTACCTTGCCTCTCCGAGTCACCATCCTGCTACATTTCATATATATATATATATATATATATATATATATATTATACCAAAAAGTACTGAATCCTCAGCAATTTCACTAAAACCTGTTTTATTGCTATTCCAATTAAATGTTTTTGTTATCAATTATTTATGTATTTGTAATTAGAAAAACACACCAATGCATTTACAGTCCAGAACAACAAAATAGCAAATTAAAGTTACACAAGAGTACAATTTTATACAATAAATAAGAACCTAAACGTTTTAAAAATGTATCTTGACTTTATTGTACTGTTTTCCCTTGCCCCATTGATGTGTGATGTGCAAAGCTCCAAAACATCCACCTTTGAGACAGCAAGTGAGGGGGCTTCCACCTTGTCTCAATCATCTTTTTGGCAGCCACCAAAAGAGAACCATTTGTACTGTTGAGTCTGATCTGAGTTAAGTCCTTCATAAGACTGACCTCGAGGAAAACAGGGTACCAGGTGACAGGATAATGGACAGACTACCGCCACCATCCTCACCATCTTATATAATATTTTATTTTATTAAAAAGAAAAAAGAAAAAGCATTTTTCCCGTATGAGTAATTTACTGCAGTTGTGTTGAGGCATGGCTAGACATTACATAACTGGATATGTTCTGAATGTTGGACTGTTGAACGCTGGCTGCCTGAGGCTTCTCTAGACAAAAAAGGCCATTTCAAGTCAGAAATAATGTATATCAAATTATTATAAGCCTGAATGCCATGAGGTTCCCATAACATTAGTCAAATATTTAGTTTTAGTTGACACAAAGTTTGTTGAATTAAATTGGGTTGCTGGTCTCGTTAGAGGGATTTAAACGGGGAATTTGGATTTGGTTTCCACTTTCTTTTTTATTAATGTATATTTAGTTTGTAATATTTATTCAAAAGATCTGTTCATAGTCTACAAAACTATGTAATTTGGTAAATGTTATTTTGAAGTAGTTATTATTACCTTTTTAAAATGTATTTTTAAGCAAAACCTGTACACATACATAAGTACTGTTTCCATTAGATTTGGTAAATCTGTCTGCCTTACATATCGTGTTGCATGTCTCTTGTGTGCTGGTTTTCCATGCTCTAAATATACGTCACTGAGAACATGTTGAGCTCATCCTCTTTTAAGATTGTAATTTGATCCCTGGAAAGGAATGTGCCTCAGCCCTTCACCACATGTTGCTTTTGTCTCAATAATTAGAAACATTTGCAATACTCGACATATGGTTTTGTATTAGGAACTCTAAAATATGGTATTTTTACACTCGTCTTTGTGTAGTGAAAACAAACCCAAGAACGGAGGAATCTGCGTCGCCAACCATACCTCACCTATTGATGTAATTATCCTTGCGAGCGATGGCTGCTATGCAATGGTAATATGAAATTAATGATGTTGCCAGTTTGTCGTAGCGTAATCCGAAAAAAAGAAGTTGTGACATCATTCTGTTTGTTTTGGATACCAGGTTGGGCAGATACACGGTGGTTTGATGGGAGTGATTCAGAGATCCATGGTGAAGGCCTGTCCACACATATGGTTTGAACGCTCGGAGGTCAAAGACAGACATCTCGTGGCCAAAAGGTGACACTGCAACTATTTTATTTTGTTTATTCTGTTAACTAAAACAAGTACATTCTTTCACAGATTAAGTGACCATGTGGAAGACAAAACTAAACTCCCAATTCTTATTTTTCCAGAAGGTATAGTACAAAAACAGAGGGGGAATTTTTTTGTATTGCTTTATAAAATAAAAAATGACTTCCTTCCTCAGGTACTTGCATCAACAACACATCTGTTATGATGTTTAAGAAAGGAAGCTTTGAGATTGGTGGTAATGTTTACCCAGTTGCTATTAAGGTAGTCCAATACTGTAATATATTATGCTTTTATAAAGTATTTAACAGTAATGTATTATCTTGAAAAGCAAACCTTTCATGTGTAGTCACAAAATGTCTTTGTTTGTTGTTTTCGTCAGTATGATCCACGGTTTGGAGATGCCTTTTGGAACAGTAGCAAGTTTGGAATGGTAAGCTACCTCCTGCGCATGATGAGCAGCTGGGCCATAGTGTGCAGTGTGTGGTACCTTCCACCAATGTCACGTGAGGTGAGCTGGACACGATCACCCGGGGCTTTAACACTAACATTAACATGATTATAGTGGATTTTAAAATTAACCCACTCAGACTGATGTACATTTGCATTTTCCCTATAGGAAGGGGAAGATGCTGTACAGTTTGCCAATCGTGTGAAGGCAGCCATTGCGAGGCAGGGGGGATTGGTTGACCTCCTGTGGTAAGATAATAATATGAACAATTTCATAAACATAAATTTGAAAGGCTATTCCCGAGTTGATCAATAGTCTTACTTTTCAAGAGAAACATTGAAAATTGTACTAATTGAGTGCTTACTACTTGTATATTTTCGTGTGATTATTATTGTGATTTTATTTTAGGGATGGAGGCCTGAAGCGAGACAAGGTAAAAGATACCTTCAAAGAAGAACAACAGAAGCTGTACAGCAAAATGCTTGTGGGAACACAAGAGGACCGCAGTCGTTCGTGAAGGAAATATGAAGTTATGGAGTCATTCCTGGACACGTTTGGCTTGTGGGTTGCCAGCTCTGCCTCTCTCAGTTGACGCGTGTGAAATGGACAAGATCCTTTCAGATGTCAACAGAAATCCATTTGACTTCCTCAGTCAGTGCGCGGCCTGTTTCAGTTTCCATTGATGAGTTACTGAGTCGGCTGCACGTGTTGGAAGAAAAGATCGATGCACTCAGGCAGTGTTGTCTTCCGTTTGTATAACAAAGGCAATTTTCCTATTTTGTTTAATAGGTGGAGATTTTAGAAGTTATAATTTTGTATCACTATATTTAAGTTGTATTTACCCAGTACTGGGGCACGAGAGACCTCATGAGAACTGGTGAGAGTTTGTTGCTTGAATTGACGTGAGTCAAAGGGAAATGCCTTTTAATTTTAAGGCAGAATAACATTTCAATTAACGTTTTTAAATATTTTTTGTTACTTTTTTAGGGTGAAGAGTTTCTGAAAGAGGGTTTTTGTTATTTTTAGACCTTTCTATTGAATGTGTAATCTCACACTATGATATAGAAATTTAAACCCATAGTTAAACTACTAATGTTGCAGTTTCACTAAACGATTGTTTTCAATTTAAAATGTTAATGATTTAAAAGGGAAAATTTGGATTTATTAAGATTTATTTAAGACCTTTTCTATTTTGGCGTCGGCATACACATCAATGTAGACTACATTTCAAAAACAAACTGAATCCCCAGCAAATTAATGAGAAATTAACAACAGACTTTAAATACTAAAAGGAATTTTGAGTTTGAACCTTTTATCGGCTCTATCATTGATCGCTCTCCTGAAAGTCAGTAGAGGAGGGAGTGGGAGATGGCAAGTGTTGCAGGTAAACAGTGGCCATGACTAAATAAATGTTCAATGTTTGCATGGGGCTTCTCTCGTCTTTTTTCCACTAACAAATTCTGGTTAAATTACACTTAATTTATTATCATTTATACAGCACGCTTATGTAAGCTCCCTGTGCGCCTTAAAAGGACTGGTTGCTTCTCAGCCAAGCGTCTTGTTTGCAGCTCAGGCCTCTCTTTAAAAGCACTTTTGTTTCGACACAGTGATGGACATGGCAGTGCTGGGTTGTACTGCTGTGGAAATGGACTAAAACAGATTTGTTGAGGCGGTGAACAAAACTCTCAGTATTAGAAGAAGGGGTTGGAGGAAACGGGACATGTAACAATACCATGGTTGAGCAGCTCTCTGACTGCACTATGGTGAGCAGGGGTCGGGCCCCAGCAGTCTCAGACAAGAGGGGACACCTTATAGGCACAAGGACATAAGACCAGTTGCGTCAATACCATTAACTTAAGCCTGCCTATATACAACATTTGAATGGTAAGCTAAAGAATTCTAAATGCTGTTTAAGTTTGTTCAAATGTGATCTGTATGTATATTGTTACTAAACAATAAAGATTAAAAATAATAATAATCCAGAATTGGGGTACCTAAAAAAAAGAACATAGACTGAGTGTAGAGAATGCTCCAGGAGACCGCGGTAAAGTGGCCCCGCTTTTCGTCGGCAGCGGTAAAGCGGTCTGCACATTGAAAGCGGTTTGCCCCTTTACGCTGTTACTTACGGTAAACGACGTAAGTAACAGGAAGCGGCGACGACGAGCAAACAAAATGCAATTTTTTATAAATATTTTTTTTGAACAAGAGTTTTGCGACTACTTTCACTGCAGACTTGTTCACTGTGATCCCCTCTACCACTGTGTAAAATAACATTCACATTTACTGTAGAAATTCAGAGATAATTGGGCTCAAAGTGTGCATGTTTGGTCCCAACAGCACTTTTCAAAAATCATTTTTAAAAAATCTAAAAAAGATCCCTGACTACTTTCACTGCACACTTGTTCACTGTGATGCCCTCTACAATTGTGCAAAGTGACATTCACTTTTACTGTGGAAATTCCAAGAAATTGGGGGTCACGTTGAGGTGGGTCCCAGTGGCGGCTGGTGGAATTTTCTACTGGGGGGGCTATGAATATGATGACTAGATATATACCAGCAGTAAGTAAGTTTACACTGACTGTTGTGACTGAAGCCTCACACGAGAATGAAATATTTATCTTCCCAAACATAGCTAATTTGAGGGCATTTTGCATGTGGATACCAGTCTGCTCATGCTTCTTTGCCTTTTCTAAAAAGTGCTTCAGATCAGTCATACCTGTCTTGATCCATGCTGGGTCAGATCCTGATGTTTGAAACAAGAGGCATGGAAAGCAAAATAAAGCATTAGCCTCGCTACATGCTGCTAGCCAAGATTTGGCGCTGAACCAGGTCCTGGAAAAAGTACGAGTGTACCGTCTACCCCTGTCGCTGGACTGCTGACTAATGGTAATATTTGGCTGATCAGGTCCAAGCTCTTTAACCTCAACCTTCTCCTGGTATGATCTTCTCTCAAACGGTATTGTTTTGAGTGATCTAACTGAATTATTCTTTTTCTCGTTCTCCATTTTGCGTCTCTTTACGTTCGTCTCAAACTCCCACAGCTTGACCTGTCAATCACTGTAAACGGACGTCACAGACAGTGACAGTACAGGTCGCGGGCGATCCCGCCCCCTCAGGGCGCACTTCTCCTGCGCCCCCAAATCGTCTTATCTCTTGCATTGAAGAGGAGCTACTGCGCATGTACAACTTTTAACGAGAGTCCATAGACGCCTCAGGGCGCAATCTTTTGCGCCCTGAGGCGGAAATACGTCCTCAGTCCGACACAGACAACGCTGATGAGCTTAATCAATCCAACTCAGCATAAACTATAAAGTATTTCTTCCACATCTGAAATAAAACACACATACATTTCGAAATATTTTAATGTTATTATTTTTTTTAACGTTTTATTCAAGGTAACATGGCAAGTTGTGAGTGGTGGGGCGGCGCCCTAGCGCCCTCTATTGGCCGGCCGCCACTGGTGGGTCCCCCCTGGACTGCCACCTTTACGTGGTGGGGGAGTTTGAGTACTCGAATGATGTTGGGAGCTATGTTGTCTGGGGCTTCATCCCCCTGGTAGGGTCTCCCATGGTAGACAGGTCTCGGGTGACAAGTCAGAAGAAGCGCAGTCCGAAGCCAACCATGGACAGCACAAATACAAAAGCCGTGACGTCGCCCGGGATGGCGCAGCCAGGGCCCCACTGTGGAGCCAGGCCTGGGGTCGGGCTCGAAAGCGAGCGCCCATGGTGGCCGGGCCTTGGCAGGGCTCAGCCCTAAAGGACGACGTTGGCAAGCCCTCCTGTGGGCCCACCATGCATGGTGGCATGGTGCAGCAAGGACTGGGCAGCAGTCGAAGGCGGAGACCTCGGCGACCCGGGGGGGGGGCATACTCATTGTCCCCCATTTCAGCCGCCACGTGTTGGAGTTCTCCCCGGTGAATGAGAGGGTCGCGTCCCTCCGCCTCCGGGTGGAAGACAAGTCTCTCACTGTCACTGTTGTGACGGCCTACGGGCCTAACAGCAGTGCAGAGTACTCGGCCTTCTTGGAGTCCTTGGGGGGTGTACTGGACACTGCACCGCCCGGGGACTCCGTTATTCTCCTGGGGGACTTCAACACCCATGTGGCAAATGCCAGTGACACTTAGAGAGGTGTGATTGGGAAGAATGGCTCCCCTGATCTGAACCCGAGCGGTGTTCAGTTGTTGGACTTCTGTAGTCACAGTTTGTCCACCACCATGTTCGAGCACAAGGGTGTCCACCAGTGCACGTGGCACCAGGACACCTTAGGTCGGAGGTCGATGACCGACTTTGTTGTCATATCATCTGACCTTCGACTGGGTGTCTCGGACATTCAGGTGAAGAGAGGGGCCGAGCTGTCAACCGATCACCACCTTGTCGTGAGTTGGATCCGCTGGCAGGGGAGAAAGCCGGTCAAACCTGGCAGACCCAAGCGTGTAGTGAGGGTTTGCCGGGAACGTCTCGCTGAGATTCACACCTCCGGGAGAGCTTTTTCCAGGTACCAGCGGAGGAGGGGGACATTGAGTCTGAGTGGACCATGTTCTCTTCCTCTATCGCTGATGCGGCAGCTCGTAGCTGTGGTCGCAAGGTCTCTGGTGCTGGTCCCGGCGGCAACTCCCGAACCCGGTGGTGGACACCGGCAGTATAGATGCCGTCAGGCTGAAGAAGGCTATCGAGCCATGATGGTTCGTGGGACTCCTGAGGCAGCTGTCCAGTACCGGCAGGCCAAGCTGTTGCAGAGGCAAAAACCCGGGACTGGGAGGAATTCGGAGAGTCCATGGAGCATGACTATCGGTCAGCCTTGAATACGTTCTGGCAAACCGTCCGGCGCCTCAGGAGGGGGAAGCAGTTCTTTGCCAACACCTTGTACGGTGCGGGTGGTAGGGATGTAAAAAACTATGAATTTTCATAACCGACCACCGAGCCTCATTAACCGGTTGAAACCGGTTAACCGCGTAGTTTAAAATAGTCCACGTTCTTTGAAATAACAGCCATTTCGAGCCGCGTACTTCTCATAAGTGCAGCTCTGCGTTCTACTGGATCAGAGCTGAGACAGCGGCGCCCAAACCCGCAACAGCTCCGGCACCTTTGCGCACAGAGAACTGCTTTTTTAATCTTCCCATTCTGCTGTGCTGCGGGTTAATACCAAAACTTTCTAGCAGCAAACGACGGCTCGTTCACATGGTCAGAGCAGCGAGTGACGAGCCGCGTCTCACAGGTCTTCACAAAAGTTTAAATACAAGTGATGTGTGTGGAGCAGATCCCGAGGACCATAAACACAAACATGTTCCATGTGGTTTGACTGGAGCCGTGTATTTGCGCGAATCCTTTGGGCTCCGTGACACAGAGGAGCGCGACAGACCGGTATGTGTGTGTGTATGTGTGTGTGTATGTATGTGTGTATGTGTGTGTGTATGTATATGTGTGTGTGTGTGTAAATGTAAGCTCCAATGTAGTTCTGACCCGCGCCAGTGTGCAACTTTGACGGTAACAGAGGGGAGAGATGATGCGTGTGGATGTT